TTCTCCAAAGAAGAAATTCAGATGGCCAACAGACACATGAAAAGATGCTCCACATCGCTAGTCATCAGAGAAATGCAAATTAAAAGCACAATGAGATATCACCTCACACCAGTAAGGATCGCCACCATCCAAAAGACAAACAACAACAAATGTTGGCGAGGTTGTGGAGAAAGGGGAACCCTCCTACACTGCTGGTGGGAATGTAAACTAGTTCAACCATTGTGGAAAGCAGTATGGAGGTTCCTCAAAAAACTCAAAATAGAAATACCATTTGACCCAGGAATTCTACTCCTAGGAATTTACCCTAAGAATGCAGCAGCCCAATTTGAAAAAGACATATGCACCCCTATGTTTATCGCAGCACTATTTACAATAGCCAAGAAATGGAAGCAACCTAAGTGTTCATCAGTAGATGAATGGATAAAGAAGATGTGGTACATATACACAATGGGATATTATTCAGCCATTAGAAGAAAACAAATTCTACAATTTGCAACAACATGGATGGAGCTAGAGGGCATTATGCTCAGTGAAATAAGCCAGGCGGAAAAAGACAAGTATCAGATGATTTCACTCATCTGTGGAGTGTAACAACAAAGAAAAAAACTGAAGGTACAAAACAGCAGCAGACTCACAGAACCCAAGAATGGACTAACAGTTACCAAAGGGAAAGGGACTGGGGAGGATGGGGGGGAAGGTAGGGATAAGGGGGAAAAAAAGGGGCATTGCTACTAGCAGACATAATGTAGGGGGGCACGGGAAGGGCTGTACAACACAGAGAAGATAAGTAATGATTCTATAGCATCTTACTACCTGATGGACAGTGACTGTAATGGGGTATGTGGTGGTGACTTGATGATGGGGGGAGTCTAGTAAACATAATGTTGCTCATGTAATTGTACATTAATGATACCAAAAAAATCGAATTAAAAAAAATCCCTAACCCCTATTCTTCTCCTGTTCCTACTATAGACTATTGTGATGTGCTTAATGTGTACTTTGTCCTTTTTTGTAAATGTTCTTGCATAACGTGCACTGTGGGCATATACTTTTAATTTATAGAAATGGCATTGGGTTACCTGCCTGAATCTGTTGCTTTTCTCATGCAGCATTGGGTTTCTGGATCTATCCAGGTTGCTGTATGTATTACTAACCTAGTGCTTCTGATTGCCGCCGCATGCCTCACATTGTGCAGCTGTGCATCTACCACACTTTACCCCTACAATCTGTTAAAGGCTGACTTGTGTTCCCCCCAAATTCGTATATAAAGTCCCAACTCCAGTACCTCAGAATGTAATTAGCATTGGAGATAGGACCTTTGAAGAGGTCATTAAGATTAAATGAGGTAATGCCTGGGCTCTGATCCATGTGTCTGTATTTGGAAACAGGACCTGCAAAGTGATGGTTAAATTCAACTGATACCATTAGGTGGGGCCGTAAATGAACATGACTGGGTCCTTAAAGAAGAAAGAGAGAGGGATGTGTGTGCACAGAGAAAATGCCACATGAGGACACAGAAAGAAGCTAGCCATTAGCAAGCCAAGGGGTGTGGGCTCAGGAGAAACTCCACCTACCAGCACTTTGATCTTGGACTTCCAGCATCCATAACCAGGAGAAATAAATGTCCGTTGCTTAAGCCACCCCTTCTATGAGATTTTGTTATGGGCAATCCTAGCAATCCAGGACACACTCTCTTAGTGACACCCCAGATTTCTTTTAGCTCTTTTGTTGAAAACTTTGAAGTCAACAAATAAACCTTTCCTGCAAAACTGACCATACTGTACAGCTAACACTGAATCATTACTTCATGCTGTCTTATGTAGAGACCTGAGAAGTCTGTCTTATTGTAGAGACCTCAGAGTTCTGAATTGTTCACTCAGTGCCTTGTTAACTGAAAACCTGGCAAAGAGAAAAGGGGATCCTATCCCCATGACACATGACTGACTGGCTTAAAGAACTCAGACCTAAGCTTTTCAGTCTTTAATTGGCCAGTGATTTGTTTAGAGACAGTCTAATTAATGAGAGGTAGAGGGCTTTTGTTAGGAATTTGGGGACTTGGATATTTTTCTCCCCTCTTGGTTAGTAGAGCTGCTGCAGCCATTCTGAAACTTTGAAGGAGGCAAGCTTCAGGATCATGCTGATGCCACGGAAGGCAGTGTGTAAGGATGAAATATGCTAGGTCTTGATTCAGACCAACGCTAAAGCCAGGCCTGCTTCTGGCTTTCTCAGTCACATGAGCCAACAAATCTCCTTTATTTATTTATTTATTTATTTATTTTTTTGAGAGGGCATATCTCATATTTATTGATCAAATGGTTGTTAACAACAATAAAATTCTGTATAGGGGATTCAATGCACAATCATTAATCAACCCCAAGCCTAATTCTCAACATTCTCCAATCTTCTGAAGCATAATGAACAAGTTCTTAGATGGTGAACAAGTTCTTACTTAGTGAATAAGTTCTTACATGGTGAACAGTGCAAGGGCAGTCATCACAGAAACTCTCGGTTTTGATCATGCATCATGAACTATAAACAATCAAGTCAGATATGATTATTCATTTGATTTTTATACTTGATTTATATGTGAATCCCACATTTCTCCCTTATTTTTTTTTAATAAAATGCTGAAGTGGTAGGTAGATGCAAGATAAAGGTAGAAAACATAATTTAGTGCTGTAAGAGGGCAAATGTAGATGATCAGGTCTGTGCCTATAGACTAAGTATTAAAAATCTCCTTTATTTTTAAAGCCAGTATGAGTCTTCTATAACTTGTAAGAAAAAATATCCTAAATGATACAGGTAGGTGCAATGGCACAGATGTGAATAAAGTCAAATCTCAGCCCTTGGACAAGGTTGGGGTCATAAATTCATTTGCACTCATCAGACTGGCAAAAAGTGAGTACAGCAATAACATCAGTCCTGACGTTGGCTTTGGGTAACAGAAACTCTCATACATTGATGGTAAGAGTGTAAATTGCTACAATATTTTTGGAAAAAATCTAGCAATATACTAGGTTTAATCTTATAAAATTGCTATTTCCTCAGGTCAAAGTGGTTGAACATCAACAGTGTCATATGATTCAACTTAATGCATTAAAAACACACATTCTTTCACCTAACTCAGGTAGGGAATCTAGCCTATAGGAATAGAAGCATTAGAACGTAAAGCTCTTCATACAGGGCTACTTACTGCAGCCCTGCAGATGGTGACAAAGCAAAACAGGACTAGAAACAAACTCAACATTGGGGAATAAATTACCATACACCCAAATTATGGAATATCACCCAAGAACTATTTAAGTAACGAGTTATATCTGTATCTGTTTACTTAGAGAGATGTCAATGATGTTAAATCAGAAAAAAAGGTGCAGAGTACCATCTTCAGAATGATCCCATTTTTATAAAAACAGGAAATAAACCTCTATATGTATATACTTCTATATGTGTATGTGTGAATGGTTACGGACAAGGGAGTGAAAAGGTCGGTAAAACCCTGCACTGGTAACACTGGTTATGTTAAGGAGAGGGTAATGGAGGAAATTGAGGGGAAGTTTTAAAATTCTTTAAAAGTCTTTGCACTGTTTCACTCTTTACATTACATACCTGATAGGGATTGGGCTACGAGTTGGGGGTATATAATTCAAGCAGTGTGGGGTGCCTGGGACTGACTTAGGGCCACTGGGGAGGTCCAGAGATTTGTCACTGGGATCTAGAGTTGATTCAGCTTGCCTCGCGATTGTACTGGTTTAAGCACTTGATACTGGGAACTCGTTTTTTTTTCTCTTTAAAAAGACACTTAATTTTCCTAAAGCAGTATTCTTTTTCCCGTCTTGTAGATGCGCGAATTTAGGCAGGAAGAGGTTAAGTAACTCACTCAAGGCTGCACCCACTAGAAGGAGGCGGCCGCAGGATTACAACCGGGGTGGACTAAAACCTTGGCTTTGCACACAGCCCCTCCCTTAGCCCACCTCCCCTCTAGGAGTCCCGGGGAGGCCTTGGTGCAGGGCGCGACGGGGTGAGGCGCCTCAGTGGCAAAAGCGCTCTCGGCTGCCTGGGATGTCTGAAAAGGACTCTTGAGAGGAGACGACTTTTGTATTGGCCCGCGGTAGGTAAACAGGCATTCATCAGGAAGACTGGGAACAGGCGAACAGGGTGCGGTCGATACCTGGATACGAGGTGTTGGCATGGACTCTGGCCAGGCAGCCAGGCTGAGGAGGTGCCCGCGGACTGGACCCCGCCCTGGGCCCGACCCGGACAGCGGCGGCTCGGGGCGCCTGCGCGGGGCTCCTCCCTGCCTAGCGGCGGAGGCCGCGGCTCGTTCTCCCAACGGTTCCGAGTTAAGACGCTGGTTGCAGGCACGGGGCAGGGCTCCGGCGAGGATGGTACTGCGGGAAGCACGGCGGCTTCCCCTCCAGAGGCCCTCAGAGCCGGGCCCCCAGCCTACCTCCCTGGCGGGGCGGGGCAACTCCGCCTTGGAAGCCCCGCCTCCGCCGCGCGGCCATAAAGTGCGGCCCCGGGCCCTCGGCGCGCGGCACCGACGGTCTCCTCTAGGCAGTGCAGCCCGCGGACTCTGTGAGTAAACGTCCCTGCCCCACCTTTTTCCCTGCTGGGGAGTTTGTACGATACCCTCCCTCTCCCTAGGCTGAATGACTTCTGAATCTTGCACTGGGAGGAAATTTGGAAGCAGGATGTCCCGATCGATACCCCTGGTCCCTTGAGGGTTCTTGGAGAGAGACCCGCGACGGGGGCTGGAGGGAACGGCATGCACAGGGGAGGCCACCAGCCAAGCAACTCGCGGGACTGCAAAACTGGGACAAGTGTGGAGGGAGAAGGACAGGGGTCGGAATTCGGGTAACAGGCTTGGGTGTGCGCGGGGCGAGGAGACGGGAGCCAGGGGCTCCTGTGCTGGGCCCTGCACGGTCCCTGCCCGGCTCCCACTTTGGTGGGTGAGAAACTCCCTGAACCGCCCCTGTCCCGGATTCCGCGCTCTCTCCAGGGACTTCTGGATTTGTAGCGAGTTCAGATTTCTCAAGTAGTTGCCTTTTTTTGGGAAAAAGACAAGTAGGATCAGCAGGGCTGCGGACCGGACCGCCCCGACCTCACCCCTGCACTGCGAGGTGTCCTCTGTAGGCTAAAGTGTTCTCTTGGCGGCACTGGTCCCGGACCGGCGTGTCAGCTACGCGGTCGTGGGGAATGAGCGGCTCCCACCTGCTGCAGCACACAGCGGTCCGGACCCCAGAGCTCAGGGGACCTGTATCGTCTTATTTGGTTTTGTATGGAGGCAAAGTTTAAACCCAAATAAATCCTGGGTTTCCCGTTCCGTGGCACAGAAAGCTGGCCCCGACGGTGGGGCGGAGCAGCAGTGCCACCCCGCGGTGCTCGGGTCTTCCCGAGACTGCCTTACGACGCGGTCCCGGTCCTCGAGGCATCTGAAGTTTTTTGACGCCTTTTCTTATTAGGTTCGCTTCCTGTGGGGTGAGAAACGAAATATTTGCACGCCAGATAGCTGTTCGGTGCACTAGTGAAATTGTGGCTGTGAACAATTTCTGTATTGGTTTACATTTGTCTGCGTTGGAGATTTCTGGCCACCTCAGTTTCCTCATTTGTACACTGAACACTGGCGGTGATAATAATACCCATCTTATAGGGAAGTAATGAGGTAAAATGAGAGAATGCATATGAAGTGCTTAGCACAGCTATCGAAACAGTAAATACTAAACAAATGTGATTGATGTTAAATGATAATGATAAGAAGTAAATGATGAGTAGACCCTGCCGTCCGGCCTTGGTGCAATGGCTGGGGGGCCAAAATAATCCAGTCACTTCATTGCAGTTGACTACATGTTTACTGTGTTCTAGGAGCTTCAAGATGGTTCTTGCTAAGAGTTGGATCCTAAAGAAGCACTTTGAAGGTTACCCTATTAAAAGTAACTTTGAGTTGAAGACAATTGAACTCCCACCCTTAAAAAATGGAGGTAAATCATACTTATAAAATTTGAGTTGGAAGACACTGTATCAGTTAGCCTTTGCTGCATAACAAACTACCCAAGATTTAGTGACTTCAATTTATAGTTTATTAGGTCATGATTACATGGGTTGGGAACTTGGGCTGAGTTAAGTTGGTAGTTCTCTAAGTCTCATTTGGGTTAAATGGTTCATCCAGGATGGGTCTCACTAACACATCTGGTGATGAGCAGGTTTTCTGCTGAGATACATATGCCTAGGTTCTCCTTTTGGCCTTTCTAGCAGGCGAGTTTGAGCTTTTCGTTCTTACGGAGGTGTTGTGGATATAGAGCAGTAGGAGTTGGCAAGCGCCAGTGTTCAAGTACTTTTGAAGCCTCTGCTCGTATCATGTTTGCTAATATGCCGTTGGTTGAAGCAAGCCATGGAGCCGAGGCCAGATTCAAGGAATGGGAAATAGACTTGATGGGAGGAGTGGCAAAGAGGCCTGGGCCACAAACACACATGGGAGGTATTTGTGGCCATTTTGCAGTCTGCCATGGAGACTTTGTCCAGGTTCTCTGTGTGAAGCCTCGATGTCATTGAAGATCCGCCTGCTTTCCTTAGTAATTGAAGCCCATGCTTGAGGGCATTGTCCTTCATGACTGTGACCAGACTGTAGGGAGGATTCCCCCTCTGTCCTGGTGAGCCCGGTGATGACAATGGGGTAAGCACTGCCTGGCAGCTGTGCACAGAGCTCAGACCGTCTGTGAGCAGACAAGGAGGGAAAAATCTTCATCCTTCATTGCGGAGCCTTCCATCCCCTTGGGGAAGTGGAGGGACAAGGCAAACCTAAAGAAATCTAGGGGAGAAAATGGCCACACACTTAGAGATTAGGCTTTTTAGAGCAGACTGTAAGGGGTGTTTAACAAGTAAGTAGGCTTTGAGAAAAGGGCATGCAGTCAAATAGCATGGCAGAGTTAATCAGTCCCATGTAAGTTGAGATAGCCAGGACTCAGATTCAACATTTTCAGAGAATGCATGCACGAAGGTCACTCCAGCAAAATGTGTGTTTTATGAAACCCTCTTAATGAAACCCTCTGTGAGCCCTGTAACATAGTGGCTGCAAATGCAGCACTGGACCAGTTACTTAACCTAAAGCTAAACAAAATGGGAACAACAATATTTGAGAACATCGGATGACATAATCCGTGTAAGGCATGAAATGAGTGCTGAGTCCATAATGTGATGATGAACTGGCTCCACCAAATGTGAGAGCAGGTGTTTCTTTAGTAGAAAGCAGAGATGAGAGGGCCATCCTGAAGCAGCAAGATTATCTGTGTTTATTTAGAATGCCCAGAACAAGGAAGGCATCACAGGCTCTGAGCTGCTAATTGCCTATGAATGCTTTGTTTTGTAGAGGTCCTGCTGGAAGCTTTGTTCCTCACTGTGGATCCTTACATGAGGTATTATTTTCCTTCAAAAAATGCTTATGTTGTGTGTTGGACTGTATTCTGTTGTAGTCCAGTTTTTAAAATATCCAACTGATTCAAAACACTGTCCTTTCCCCCCACTTCTCCCAGCATATCAGTGATGGGATTTGGAGAAGCTGATCTTTTACAAAGGACTGAGAAGCTGGATGAGGGATAAACCTGGCCCCTTAATTTTATAACCATCTCCTGTCTTAATGTGCGTAGTTGCCACTCACTGCTCACCAGAACTGCATCCCCCCAAGAAAAGCCAAAAGCCAATTTGTCCATTTCACTGCTGGCACATAATTTGTGTAGAAGATGGTAAGACTAAAATTAGATTTTGTTGCCTCCCATTTACCTGTATTCTTTTAAATTAATTTTCAGTTGACTCAAATGTGTGTACTCACTAAACAATTCAGGGAGGGAAGGGAATAAAGCCTTTATGGGGCACTAACTTCTCAGTAATTCTTAGCCTAGGAAAATAATGTAGTCATCATTCTTTTAAATACTTTTTTTCAGAGCTGATCCATAGAAATTCAGATCTAAAGTGAAAAAATATGTTTCAAAACGTTAAGTAGCTAGTGGAATATTATTCAGCCCTAAAAAGAAAAGAAATCCTGCCATTTGCAGCAACATGAATGGATCGGGTATTATGCTCAGTGAAATAAGCTAGGCAGAGAAAGACAAGTACCATATGATTTCACTTATTTGTGGAATATGAAAACAAAGCAAAAGAGAAGGAACAAAACATCATTAGACACAGACACTGAGAATTGACCACTGGTTACCAAGGGGGAGGGGGATAAAATGGCACAATAATTTGCAATCACAGTATAAGCTGAGTACAGGGACTGTTGAACCACTGTGATGTACATTTGAAACCAACATAAAATTGTATATTAACAACACTTTAATTTAAAAAATGTTAATAGCATCCCTTTTGTAATACAATTCTGAGATCCCAATTTCAATGTGTAGATTTTGACCCCACCCTGCCAAGCAGTTACTCTGATACCACCTGGGTGTCCTACAATTCAACTCAGTTCTGACACTGTCTACCTGGAGATAGCATCACATCCTGTAGGTTAAGGTCTCAGTCCTTGAGACTGTCCCCCACCTCACTCCAGATATCACTGGCAAATACAGTTGTTACCTGTACTTATCACTGAATGCCTATAGATCTGAGATTCCAATGATCCCCCCTCCTTGGGTTTAGTTAATTTGCTAGAGTGGCTCACAGAATTCAGGAGACTGGTTGATTCAGTAGATTACTGGTTTATTATAAAGGGATATAACTCAGGAACAGTCAATGAAAGAGATGCACAGCGAGGTATGGGGAAAGGGTGGAGCTTCCATGCTCTCTCCAGGCTCACTTGCCCCAAATCCCCATGTGTCCACCAACCCGGAAACTCTCCGAACCAGTCCTTTCAGTTTTATGGAGCTCCATTACATTGACACGGTGATTAAATCATTGGCCACTGGTGATGGATTCAACCTCCAGCCCCTCTCCCCTCCCCAGAGGTTGGATGGGGGAGGGTGGGGGAAGAGGGAGGCAGAATTTATATTCCAACCCTGTAATCACGTGGTTGGTTTTGGCAACCAGCCTGAATCCTTAGGTGCAGTGGAAAAGTCACCTCATTAACATAACAAAAGACCATTCCCAATCTCATCAATTAGGAAATCCTAAGGGTTTTAGGGGCTCCATGCAAGAAATTGGATGTAAACCAAATATGTATTTCTTATTATAAATCACAATATCACAGGTAGTGTTTTGGGTAATGAGTGCTCAGCGGTGCCTGGATTATGTTTTCGAAGTCCCTGGTAGGAGCTCATCCACGATTGAACATGATGGTAAGACTCTCATGTTCATTTCACAGAAGGCTTTCTCGGGGTCACAGGACAGAACTCTCTCTTAACAGCTTTTCATTTCTCCTCCTACATTTCTCCTAGTTGTCCTGCTTTCAGGAATCTGCATCCACTTGCCCACCAGTTTTCCATTTGGCTTGAAACTCAAGACACCGTTTCCCAGATGCTCTTATATATTAAGAATCGATTTTTTTCTTGTTTCCAGACTGGCGGCCAAAAGACTGAAGGAAGGTGATATGATGATGGGGCAGCAGGTGGCCAGGTAGTAATTTCCATTTTTCCCAGGGCTTGGAAAATAATATCTCCAACTTTCCTCTTGCTGGGCCCTGTCTCTGTCCATTACTCCTACAATTTCTTCAGCTTGTGTGGTTCACTCACTGATCTTGGAAGCAACTTGGGAAATCTGCCCCTTTCCTGGCTAATTGGGAGAGAGGGAAGCCTGTGAAATTGTCATTTCAACTTCACTTTGCTTTTAATTCCTAAAAAGTTGTATTTGTCCAGTTTATGATTGTTGTAAAAAGTCAAATAAAACAAAATTTTATATCTTGTCCCAATCATCTGAATCTAAGAGATGACTATTTTCAATGTAGTATTATTTCAAAAATTGTTCAGTACACTACTACTACTTATAAATTTTTTAATGGGATTTTATTCTCACTTTTTGAGTAAATTGCTTTCTCTCATTTAGTATATTATGGGATTGTTGACAATGTATGAATATACTACCTACCTTTTAGGGGCTGCCAATTATTCCATTATTAACTGCCATTTAACTAATCTGCTCCTGTCCAGTTTTTTCTACTATGTTTCTTCTATTTTATATGTTAATATTTTACACTTAATTCTTTGAGTCATTTAATTTTTATTTTGGAATAATGAGTGTTTACTTTATGTTCGAATGACTAACCAGAATACCAGTTATTGGAATCTTACTTGGATTTTTATTGGGATTTCAATGACTTTACAGATTCATTTAGAAGGAACTCATATCTTTACAATATTTCTCTGGGCATAAGGTACACCCCTCCATTTCTCTATTTTTGTCTTACAACTCATTAACAGTTTTCTTCATATAGTTCTTATACATTTCTTGCTAATAATCAAATAATTTTACATGTATTTGTATTAGCTGAATTGGCAAAGTTTTTTTTTTTTAAGATAATACCCAGTGATGGGCATGTTGTTATGATACACTCATACATTGAGGGTAGAAGCAGAAGTTGGCATAACCTTCTAGAAAGGAACTTGGCAATAGGCAGCAAGAATCACATATGTTTTAATACTCTTTGGACTATTAATTCCATTTATAGAAATATTTCCTAAAGAAATAATAAATTTATTTATGAACATTAATTGACATCTAATTGAATTATGAAAATACTAGAAATAATGTAAATGCCTGTATAAACTTAAAAGAAAAATCAGGTTAGAAAACACAATAAAATGATTTCAGTTATGTGAACGTATAAAATACATTTAAAAAGATATCGAGATTGCCATAAAATACCCCAAAATATTAGCAGCTATCTTTGTTTTGTGGGATTAGAACTGATATTTTTATTTTATATATTTAAAGCTTTCTAAAATAAATGTATTATGTAAGTTTGTGATCTCCGGGAGAATGACAGTAAAAAATGGTAAGAGTGAGAGAAGATGGAAGAAAGGGAATTAGCAAATAAGACAGAAGAGGAACGGCTTAGGAGAGGCAAAAAGCCCAGAGAAATTGGAAGCCAGGGGAGAGGAGTGTTGTGTGACTCAGGGTGTTGAATACAGCAGAAAAGTAAAACCAGGTAATGAGCGAAGAGTGTCCCCTGGATTCCACAGTAAGGAGTTGTTGTGACTTTAGTGGAGGGGGGTTGGAAGGCAGGTTGCACTGGGTTATCTATTGAATGGGAAGTGAGTAAGACTGGCTCTCAGAGGAAGAAGGGAGACAGAGGAGGTAGGGAGAGGATGGGATTGTAAGGTGGTGGACTGGAGCACACTTACCAGCTGAGGAAAGGGGCAGTAGAGAGGAAAACGTTAAAGATTCAAGAGAGAAGGACTAACGGACGGACAGCAGCCCCTGAAGAACAAAAGAGGCTGGTGTCCAGGGCAGCTTGAGCCAGAGAGAAAAGTGGAGAAGGACAGGGACAGATGCTGAACCAGTTCCCCTCTGATGGCCCTTATTTTTTTTCAGGGAGGAGGAGAAACCAATGGCTGAGAGTTGGGATGGAGAGATGTGGTGGAGTATTCTGTCATGGAATATCCACTTCGGTGCCCTTTCATGGGCACTGAGCACACAGCATCCTGACTCCCTTGAAAGAGAAAAGGTTTCACAGAATGTCTTCATGCGCTTTATCTTTCAGAGTTGTGGAAAGTAAAAACTCAGCCTTACCAACAGGCACGATCGTAGTGGCTTCTTCAGGCTGGACAACGCACTCCATTTCTGATGGGAAAGAACTGGAAAAGCTGCCTACAGAGTGGCCAGACACATTACCGGTATCTTTGGCTCTGGGAACAATTGGCATGCCAGGGTCAGTTTCCGGGATATATTTCATGTGTTTGAATGCCTGATATTTGGGTTTTCCAAATGGTTTGTCCAAAAGTTGGTCAACAAGAAGAGACTTGAGGCAATGTAGGTTCAGGGGCTGACTAGAGAAGATAGTGGGGCCAAAAGGGAAGAAGAGTGGGCAGAGCTAGCCTGGGCACTGAGGGAAAGAGAGGAAGACAGGGGAGAGGCCCCTGGGGCACAGAGAAGGCGGCGGTGAGGGGCAACAAGGGGCATGGCCCCTCTCAAGCTGCCGGTGAGTGGTGGCCCAAGGGGACCAGCTCCTCCGCCTCTGGTAGGCTCCTGGCTTCACGCCTCTGTCCTCTCTGCCTCCATTTCAGAGCTCGGAGAGAGAAAGAGTTCAGGCTGCCTTGGCTTTTCAGTACTTTCTCTCTTATTCCTCACTTTTCTCCAGCCACACGTGAGTTTCCTGAGGTGTAAGGGGATCTGAAGTTTAAATAACTGAGATGAACCACAAGTATGGCTGTATAGGTACTCAGCATGGCACAGATCTAAAACACTCAAGCATCTCTTGTTCTTACCCCTCAAAGAGAGTCCCGATCAGTTCCTTCCATCTACTCTAGGTCTCAGCTGCATTTTGGGCCTCAAGTTTCCTTTTCTGCCCCAGAGAGGCAAGGTTGATTGAATTCCTTTTGGAGTCCCCAAAACTTCCTAGCTTGAAATTCATTTATTTTCTTTCTTATTGTAAGTTGTGAGATTTTTTTTTCTTTCCTTCCCTCCTTCCTTCTTTCCTGTCCTCCCTTACTCATTCTTTTTCAAACTTTGAAGGACTTCTAAAGAATGAAATGGAAATATATATCCCCAAGCAACCAGCGTCTAGCAAAAACTAGTTCCATATGCCCCAAGTTCATATCACACTCAGAATTTGAGCTCCTCAGAATTATGACAGCCCAGAGAGAATATTGTGAAGTTAGAGGGTGCTTAGTACCTTCTGCCATTCAGTGAGTGGGCATAAAACAGAGTCACAGCACTTCCCATGTTTTCCTGCCTGCTCTGTACCCTCTCCCAGTGAGAGCTTCTTCCCAGCTGCTCACCCCACCCGTGCTCTTGACATTGCCAGCCAGGTGTAGGAGTGCAGGGTGAAGATGGGCATGAGCAAACCTCCCATGACTTAGCTGGGGAGAAAGTAATTTGTGAAATAATAGGAGATTTGAATTCTAAAATGGAGAATAACTTTTTCATTTGTGTGTATACTTCTCATTCATCTGTTCCAAGCCTCTAAGGAGTACACGTTTACTCCAATGGGTCTCCATGATTGGAGGGGAGGAGCTATGCCATGTGTCTAGCCCCTTCTAGTGACACACCACCCATTCTTTGAGAAGTTCTGACAGTATGAGCCACCAGCCAGTGGGATGGGTCAGCCTTTCAAGAATGCTGGAATTTCTGTTGTAGCCATTAAAGTAGTCGAACTTTGAAATCTTTGAAATACACTGGGTGTCGTTCAGCAATCCAGGCTCCAAAGATTTAATGTTCCCCCAAAGTATTGCATTCTTTCCTTCAATGGGACCGACCTCTGTTTTCTCAGTTAAGATGGAAGAGTTCGTGAGTTTTGCTCTCCAACCTGTTGATCCTATCAAGTCCCCCTTAGTCCAAAGTGTACCTTTAATTTTCCCTCTGAGATTTCTTCACTGTTGGCCTCTCCATCTTGTCTCTATTTTATTTTAAAAGGACGGGACTTTTGGGAAAGGCTTTGTATAACTTAGGTTAATATGTCTAATTGAAAGCTCATGTTGGTAATATCTAGAAGGGAAACTGGGATGGAGGGAATTACTGGTTGTTGAGGGTGGAATGACACAATCAGAAAATGTCCCTTTTTCTCTGCTGGGGTTATGCTGACTTGCACAGCACACTCTGGTGTCCGCATTCATTGAGGTGGTGGGTCTCAGTTGTTTGCATTCCTAAGAATCATGTAGAGTCTTACTAAAATTCAAATGTCCATGTCCTAGTATTTCTGAATCAGTGGCTATGAGTGGGGCCTGGGAATCTAAATTTTTAATAAAACTCCAGGTGATTCTGAGGCGGTGGTGCTCCATCCACCTTTTGAAAAACTTTGGGTTAAAGGAATATTAGATGTTGGGGTCTTCAGCAAATATGCTGTCTGTGTCCTTCACTGCCTTGCCGTCTATGCCCTACTCTAATGGACCCCCCCCAAATACTGCCAGAGGCTGAGTAAGCTTAAGTTATGCCAACAGGTAGTTTGTTTATATAGAAATGACTTTACATGAATTTGCCTGAAATTTTGCAAGTGGCTTAATAGTCATAATGAATATAGATTTCATGTGTTCAGACTCAGGGCAAAAATACAACTTAAAATTTTTCTACTACTGTACTTCATTATTATCTCAAGCCCTCATTTTGGCTGGTGTAGTAAAATAAAACTTCAGTTAAACTTGGTGATTTCTCACATCATTTCAGGTTTAAAACTGAGAATTTCCTGTTTCTTCCTAGGGTTGATGCAAAGCTCCAAGGGCCAACACAAATTCAGTGTCAGTAGAGGGGGGATGACAACTTCTTGATCTTGAGCTATCTTAGTCTTACGCTGGTCTCCTGCTCGAGATGCAACTTCTCCCATTGAGCCTCAGCCATATGCCCTTCCAAGCTGGCAGTCCCCTCAGGTGTGATGGTTTCTTTACGCAATCCCTGTCAGTTCTGCCTGAGCTGCATTTATGCAGGCCCTAGAGTTCTTTCCTTGCAAGCTAACTTCAATCTCTCACTCAGGGTGAAATTTCAGAAGTTCTTCCTTACCACTTTGAATCCAAGGGAAACTCAAGGTGTTTCTCTATGCCCCTCTCATGCCTAGACATCACATACCTGCTCTGTGTCTACGGCACCTTGGTAACATGGAGGCTTTCCCCATGAAGCTCACTATCTCCCCAGGAATCACAGGGAATGAGGCAGAAGCTTGGATCCCTAAAGGTTAAGGGGACCTATCTTTTTTTGAGACTTGAGACTGGGTAAGGACAGGTAATATTTGTTCCCTGTATTGTCTGTCTTTTACCTGGACTCATGGTACTGGTTGTTGAGAAGGCCTTCAGGCTATATCTGAATGGTTATAGGGAAAGCAGCAAATCTATCCACATATCCTTAATTGTCTTCCCTCAGCCTAACGGCCTACTTTGGCCTACTCAACATCTGTGCTGTGAAGGGTGGAGAAACACTGATGGTTAATGCTGCAGCAGGAGCCGTGGGCTCTGTTGTGGGGCAGATTGCTAAGCTCAAGGTAAGTGTCTTCCTCCAGCAACATTTACTCAGCACCCACAGTGTGCACTGGAAATGCAGCAGTGAATATAACAGACTTTCCCTCATCTCACAGAGTTTAGTCTAATGAATCTTGTTTAGAATTTGGAGACACATTCAGAATATAAAGAGCTTTCTGAAGAGCTACTCTCTATGTACTAATATAATCTGTGGTCTCATCCACAAAGTGCTTTTCAGAATGCCCTCAGTTCCTCCACGATTAGGTGGCATCTAGTCCAGTGCTTTGGGCCAAATCAAAGAATAAGGGGGCAGCAGCCAGGGGGGCTGTCTATGATACGAGTCCCAGAGCTGAGCCAAAATTACAGTCTAAAGAGCCACTGCACCAAGAGATAGCATGCAAGTCACTGCAGGGGAAGAAAAGCCCCAAAGTAAAGAAACAAGGGAATCAAATGAATAGGTTGTCAAGCCTGCAGGTGAAATGAGCTGCAAACCGCATAAACACAGAGGGGCTCTGTTGGGTGGTCAGAGGCAAGCTTAAGTTCTTGGGTTGTAGGCTGGTTCAGGGACTAATTTCACCTGTGGGATCTGTTGGTCCTTATGGCACCCTCATACATGTGGCTCAGCACCTAGAAGGGGGTTCCTGGGGAACCTGACCAGACTAGACTAGGCGGGAGGACCTGGTCCATTTAGTTGGTTTCTATTCTCCCCATTTAGGGCTGCAAAGTTGTTGGAGCTGCGGGGTCTGACGAAAAGATTGCCTATCTTAAGAAACTTGGATTTGATGTTGCCTTTAACTACAAAACAACAGAGTCTTTGGAAGGAACTTTGAAGAAAGCCTCTCCTGATGGTTATGATTGTTATTTTGATAATGTAAGTACAAACTGGACTTAATACCACCTGTTTACAAACAAAATACTATGCAAGGAATGTACTTCTAGAGTTTACATCTAAAATATTAGGAGAAAGCATATATGCTTTTAAAAAAAATGTTTTATTAAATTTTATTTATATAATTCACCCATTTAAACTATAGAATTTAGTGGTTTTTAGTATATTCACAGAATTATATAACCATCACCACAGTCAATTTTAGAACATTTTCATCACCCCAAAAAAGAAATGTAGTACTTATTAGCAGTTACTCTCCATTTCCCCCAAGAAGTGGTATTTGTGACTGGCTTCTCACGCTGAGCATATTTTCAAGGTTCATTCATGTTTTAATATTTAATCGCTACTTCATTACTTTTTATGGTTGAGTAATAGTCCATTGTATGGATATATCATTTTATTTTTCTATCAGCTGATGGGCATTTGAGTCATTTTCACTGTTCGGCTATTGTGTGTAATGCTGCTGTGAACATTCATGCGTGAGTTTTTGCGTGGCCACATTTTCATGTTGCCTGGGCATACAGCTACAAGTGGAATAGTTGGGCCATGTGGTCACTCCATGTTTAACATTTTTAGGAACTGGCAAACTATTTTGCAAAATGGCCATGCTCTTTTATATTCTCATCAGCAATATATGAGGGTTCTAATTTCCCCACATCCTCACCAGCACTTATTATCTGTTGTTTTGATTATAGCCATCCTGATGGGTAGGGTGATGCTTCATTGCAGCTTTCATCTCCCTCATGGCTACTGATATTAAGCATCTTTTTTATGTGCTTACTGGCCACTTGTATATCTTCTCTGGAGAAATATCTGTTCAAATCATTGCCATTTTTCCATTGTATTATTTATTGATTTGTAAGAGTTTTTTTTTTTTTCTGGATACAAGTCCCTGACCAAATACAGTGAATTCTCAGTACTTCTGGTAGTTATGTTCTATAGTCACCACAAATACTGATCCATTGGTCTCAGAGGAAGTATGTACATATATGCATTTATCACAAAGATTACAATAGTAAGTCCTAAAAACAATGCTTCCTATAGCTTCTATTTTCTTTATTTTTCAAAAGAGAAAATAAGGTTCAGAAGTGTTAAGTAAATTGCTTGAGGCTACCCCACTATCTAATCCTCTCAGAGCAGGGATTCATACCCCATTCTATTAGACCCCGAGCCAATCTCCTTGAGCTACTCTGCACTGCCCCCTACTGCCTTCAGCCTGGCAATCCCAGAGCTGAAAACAAAGCAGAGCTTTGGCCTTAGCTGGGAACTTTTTGTCTTTTGCCACTCTGTGGATGTCTGCAAATAACCAGGGAATGCTCTGTATTGATTTTGGGGTTATAAATAAATGTTAGCAAGTAGTCTGATTCTCATAAATGGAATGCACCAATAATGAAATGAGGATCAGTTGTATGTGGCTTGCAAATATTTTCTCTATTCTGTGTGTTGTCTTTTGCTTTCTTTCTTTTTCTTCCTTTTTTTTTGACTGGGTCCTTTGAAGCACAAAAGTTTTAAATTCTGATGAAGGCCAATTTTTTTTTTCTCTTGTTGCCTGGGCTTTTGGTGTCATGTTATAAAACTTTGCCTTACCCAGGGTCACAAACATTTACTCTTATTTTCTTCTAAGACTTTCATAATTTCAGCTCTTACATCTTAAGTTAACTTTTGTATATGGTGTAAGGAAGGAGTCCAATTTAATTGTTTTCCATGTGGATATCCAGTTGTTCTGCACCATTTGTTGAGGACTCTTTCCCTTCACTCAATTGTTTCAGCTCTGTTGTTAAAAATCAGTTGACTTAAATGTAAGGGCTTTTTTTTTTTTTTTGGATTCTGAATTTAGTTCTGTTGATCTGTATTTCTGTTCTCAGTCTTGGTTAATACAGCTTTGTAGTAGGTTTTTAAATTGAAAACTGTGAGTTTTCCAATTTTGTTCTTGATAGAGCTTTTAAGTATTTTTCCAAATGTTTAGAAAGGGAACCCTAAAATATAGTAAAGTAAAATGTATAAGTTATATAAGGTATGTTCTTATAGTCAAGTGGAAATGCCCAAGTTCTAATGTCTTTTCCAGCTGCAATTTTTGGCACTGCTATACTGATTCAGTCAGTTGTGTTGCTGCTAAAACAAGTATTGTGAAATGATGATTGTGACTTAATGATTCTCTGAATCGTTTAATGTTTAGATTACTTAAGGTTTTGTGTTTTGGTCTTATTTAGGTGGGTGGAGAGTTTTCAAACACCGTTATCCCCCAGATGAAGAAATTCGGAAGAATTGCTGTGTGTGGGGCCATCTCGGTATATAACAGAACTGGCCCACCTCCCCCAGGTAATAAGCTTATGCACATGACCACAGATGTAGAACGGCTAGACAAGAACAAGATTCACAGATATGGTATAGGCCAGTGACTATTAAAAAGAGTCCCTGATATTCTTGATGAACTAGTATTTATTAAACTAAAAATATATAATTTTATATATTTATCCTAAATCAGTTTATATTATATTTTGATATAGAGAAATAACAGGGTCTGAAAATATGGAAATAACACTCTTGGTTACTAAAAGTTTTGGTTTCTTATCTATTGTTTTCTGCAAAGCTATAAAAAGGCATTCATGATTTGATTTAGAACCAGAATACCTTGGTCTGACTAGTAAAGTATTAAGGTCTTTAGGATATTTGGGACATTGCTGGAAGGTGACTTGATGTAGGTGAAGGGAAAAACAGGCTGCCATTTCCTTCAGGCAGCAGTGGAAAGCACTTTCCAGAGCACTCTGGCCTCCCCAGACTGACAGTCTTCACTACAAGGGAAAGGAGCATTGCTTTCCCTCCATGCCTGCACTGCCCCTGTTTGGTTTCTCCTGCACCCTGCCATGCCCTCCGTCCCTCACTTCTCCACTCTCTTATGCTGAGACTGCCCCCTCCCACCTCCACATCCATAGAGGTCCAAAAGCAGTATCAACTAGAGAACTATATTCATTCAATCCCAAGTCTCTGAGAGATGTTCTGGCCTCTTATTTTACAGATGGGGGAGATGAATGGCCTAGAGGACCAGAGGCTCTTTAGATCCTATTAATGACAGACGCAAAACAAAGACAGGTTTTCTGGACTCATACAGAGTCCTTTTCTACAACAGTAATTCTGTGCCATTGGTGAGATTACAAATTGACCTGTGATCCTAAAAAAGGAATCTTCCAGATTATCATGAGGATCTAGGATGATAATCGTAAATAAATTGGTTATTCATTCTGTGATTGGCTTTGCTCATGGGAATGAAACCTTATAGCTATCTTAGTTAGCCACACCACAGCTCTGCTGAGACAAGGGGGTGGGAGTGGAAGAGGCTGAGGAAAGTCAACTTGTAAATTCTCTTGTGGGTTATGAAAAATCAAAGACACTACTTTCTTCAAGAAGGAAACTTTAGGTGCACTTGATAATCTTATTGTTAGGGGCTTCTTCCCCCCAATATTTTTCTAATTGATGATAAGTTAGAATCATTGGAAATCTTCTGCCTGCCAATTGAGCAAAACTCCAGGATGCACATTCTTGACCACGGTCCAATTAGGTATAGCCAGATACTGTGGATACAGTAACTTGATCTGGTCTTTTTAACAATTAATCTTTGAAAGTTCAGCTGCTCAGATCTTTGAGATATCCACTGACCCTGTCCATTCCATTTTAATCAGACGTGATTCTTCCCTGCCACTGATCTCCAGAAATTCTAATATATTTTACTGTTAGGATAGCTCAAAGTCAAGTAGTCATTTTCCCCAATTTTCGTGCCACATTTGTTTTTTGCTCTCAGTAAAGAAACCACATTCCCATCGGGTAGACAAGCCTAGATACAGTATTTCATCCTCTTCCAAGACGAGGAAATGAGGATTCCAATCCCTAACTTGAAAAGAAATATGGTTGGTTGGTGCGGGTCTTCGGAGGTGCGCTTTCTGCAAGACCACTGCAGTATTTGGATGTGTCTCTCTGTCCTGTCACTCTCTTGTCTCATTCACCTTTGCGTCAGTTTCTTTTGGTTCAGGCCAAACCCTCTTTTCCTGACGACTAATGTTTTTTCAAAGTAGTGAGCAGCTTTAGGCTTGCGTGGTACCGCTTATCAAGGATGCTCAAATACAGATTCTGCTAGTTGCCTTGGCTCTTCTGGCCCTGATATTCCCCAGACATTTTCACCTGACTTCCTGGAACTTATAAGACTATGTTCAGGTGTCATTCCCTGTCATGTAGGATCCTGGGGAAAACAAGCCAGGCAACTGACACAACCTTTTCTCTCTCACATGGAAGAGCACTACTTCTCTGCAGGCTGCAGGGGTAGCCCCTGTGCTCTGTCTAGGCTGATGGTTCTCAAAGTGGGGGCCCAGGACCAACATCATCACCATCTCCTAACACAGGTTAGAAGTACAGAGTCTTGGGGCCCACTCCATATCCGCAATGAGAAATTAGGAGGTGGGGCCCAGCAATCTCTCTTCACAAGCCCTCCATGTGATTCTGATACACACTGAAGTAAGAGACCCTCTGTTCCGGCTAACTCCTCACATCCTGCAGGGGTCGGGGCGGGGGTGAGGGGGGGGTGGGAGTCGCTGAACCTCTTGATCTCTCCTACTGGCTCTTAGGCCAGGGGTGGGGAGTTGTATTCCACCTGCTTTGTGAACAGAACAGGAGGCAGGTTTATGCCTTAGAGTGATTACATTAAGCCATGAGGAGGAGCATGCTAAATACTAGGAGTGTCAGGGTGTTCATCCTTGAGCAGTGCAGACACATCTTCACATGTGATCTTCAGGACCTCTTTCCACAGAGCTCTCGCAGAGTTTTTGATGGGCTTTGCTTCCGCTGCCTGGCCTGTTCAGGGACTCCAGGATGTGTTAGTTTCCTGTTAACTGCTGTAACAAAGTATCATAAACTTAGTGGCTTAAAACAGCACGGATTTATTGTTTTACATTTCTGGAGGTCAGAAGTCTAAAATGGGTCAGGAGGGCTGTGTTCCTACTGAAGGCTCAAGAGGGTTGTCTGTTTCCTTGTCTTTTCCAGCTTCTAGAGGCTGCTGTGTTCCTTGACTCCTGGCCTCTTCTTCTGTCTTCATGGCCCCATCTCTGCTTTCATCATGACATATTTTTGCCTGACTGACTTTTCTGCATCCCTTTTTCTCTTACAAGGACCCTTGTGATTATTCTGGGCCCATCTGTATAATATAGAATAAACTCCACATTGAAAGCTTCTTGATTTAATCATATCTGCAAAGTCCCTTTTGCCAGGTAAGGTAATGAACATTCACAGGCTCCAGGAGTTAGGGTGTGGACATATTTGGGGGTGGTTATTCTGTACTTATTAGTGGACATTTTGGTGTGTGGGCAGCACTGTGGGTCAGCAAAGAGTAGAGGAGATGGAAGGGAAGCACTGGAAGACCAGTGGTGGGACTTGGACTGCTGTTTTCACCACAGCCACCTCCCTGGACCCTGTCACCTAAATGTGCTCTCCTCTTCGCAGGCCCACCCCCAGAGATTGTAATCTATCAGGAACTCCACATGGAAGGGTTCATCGTCTACCGCTGGCAAGGCGAAGAACGCCAGAAGGCTCTCAAGGACTTGATGAAATGGGTCTTAGAGGTAAGCGGCTCCAGAGCCACTGCCTCTGGTGGTACACAAGGTCCCATTCCCTTGTGATGCTGTGGGCTTCATTTCCACTGCAAGTACAGATCCGTGTTACTGCGACCCTTTCATAACAAAATACCTGCAAGTGTTGTCTGCGCTCACTGGCTGCGGTTCCTCTCATTCTTTCTTAACCCTGCACACCAGGCTTTTGCACTCTTGCCATTCTACCAAAATTGCTTTTTTCAAGGTCGCCAGTGTCTCTCACACTGTGGTCGCCAGTGGTCAATTCTTGGCATCGTTTGGCCGTGGGGAGCGTTGGGCAGCGGTGATCACTCTCTCCTTGGTACACTTTCTTCCCTTGGCTCTTGGTTTTCCTCTTTGGTTGGTCCTCCTCAGATTCCTCTACTAGCTTCTTTTCTTCTCTCCAAATTAATAATAGAGTGTCCCAGGGCATGAGTACTGGGCCTCTTTTTCTTCTCCATCCACACACTCTCTATCCCTTAGTTAGCTCTTCCAGGCTCTTGGTTTTCAGAATCGTCAGTATGCGCACAGCTCCTAGACCTCAGTCTCCCACGGGACCTCTCCCTGAGCTCCAGGCTGCTCAACAGCTGCACCTGGATGTGTGATCCACATCTCCACCTTAACATGCAAGAAACTAAATATGTCTTGATCTTACCTGCCAAACCTGCTCCGCATACAGACCTCACCATCTGACTTCTGGCAACTCTACTCTCCTGGTTGCTCGATCCCAAAACCTTGAAATCATCTTGGATTTCTTTCTTTCTCTGTTTCCTGTGTCTAATCTGTTGGGAAATTCTGGTGGCTCAACCTTCAGAATGCATACAGAATCCGACCAGTTCTCCCATCACCACTGCTCCTGCCCTGCCCCAGGCCACTCTCCTGTCTGGTCTGCATGTTCTGGTAGCCTCTATCTGGTCTCCACCTTTGCGCCCTTACAGACAATTCCCAGCATGGCAGACAGAAGGATCTTTTAAAGCATAAATCAAATGATGTTGTTCTTATGCTTCAAACCCTGCAAAGCTCCCCATTTCAAACTTCCAAGGCTGTCCACGAGCTGGCCTCCATTACATTCTTCCTATCTCACATTCACCCCTGGCTCGTTCTGCCCAACCCTTCCCCACACCCCGCCACCCCTCCGTTACTGCTTCTCTCTCACCTCCTCCAAGTCTTTGCTATAAACTGCCTTTGGAATGAGGCAACTTTTAAAATGACCCTATTTTAAATCGCAATTCCCCTTCATTCTTGATCCTCTTTATCTTACTTTTATCCATAGCAATTATCTTTTAACATAATATACTTCACTATAATTCACTTACTATGTCTATCGGCCATCTCCCTTACATGAGAATGTGACCTCCATGAGGGCAGCAGTGTTCGTGCATTTTATTTTCTGATGTGTCCCGGCACCTAGGGTAGTGTCTGAATCAATGTAGGCCCTGGATGACTATTGCTGAACGAGTGAATGTTAGAAGGGCATGTATTTGTGCCATGGCTCTTCCAGGTCCTCGACTGGGAAGTGCTCTTACTGCCGTGCCTTGAGATCTTTACGAAGGCCATCTCTTTGTCCTGCACCATGATCATTTTACCCCCTTACACCATGTGGAGTTTTAGTCAACAGAAACCTGAAGAATGAAGGTGCATTATTTTAGTTTCAGAGGGGAAAAGTTATCAGTCCCACTTCCTAACTCCTGGCTTTAGAATTATTTCCCAGTTCAAAGAAACAGACCACTCCTCTGGCAGCCACTGAAGCTTGGTGCTCTTCCCAGTCCGGAGTGCTGGGCTGGGCTCTTCCCAGGGAGAGTTCCCAGGCTGTGGCCTCCTAGTCCTTGTCGGCAAAATCTCATGTGCTCCCTCTCTGATCACAGCTGACGAGACATCACTGTGCTGGCGCCCCTTATGCTTCCTGCAAACACACTGAACCTAAGTCTAGTTTTTGTTTTAAGTAACTAGTGTACTAGCCTAATTTCTCATCTACTTATTTTTTTTCTCATTCCTCCTTTTAGAATAGCTTTAGATTTACAGAAAAAGTACAAAGTACAGGGTGTTCCGAATGCCCTGTATTCTATATCCTGATTTCCCATATTATTAACATTTTATATTAGTATTCATCCTCTACTTAACATTTTGATTGTAATTTTTGACCATTTCTAGGTTCTCTGACTCTTCAAAAAAAAATTGAGCTGGGGCTTTCTCTAAAGGGTTCACATCTCAGCTTCACTACCTACTGGTTGAGTGACCTCAAGGAAATAGTCCCTCCATAAATCCATAAAGGGTGCTAAGCCACCACTGGGATACGTTAGGGAAATAAAAGGAATTGGGTAGCTCAGGTCTCCACATCAGACCCCTTAAAAAAAGAGACTTGAAAATGTGAATTAGTTCCACTTAGTAGACTGTGCCCTTTAATAGAAAGAGAAATGAAAAACCTTTCTCACTAAATGAACCCTTCCCTCCCACACTCCTGAATGAATGGTAAACACAATTTGAAAGAATCTTGGCTTGAAGGGAAGATTAATATCAGACTGCCATGGTATTTCTATCTCCTGAACAGGATCTGCCTCTTCAGGGTCAAGTAGAGGGAACGATGCTACATCGTCGGGCTGCTGATGGGATTAAAACAGATAATACCCTGGCAGGGTACCTCTTTTTCCACCTACTTCCATCTTCTCTGAAAACATTAAACTTTTCCATACAATTAGCTTAGAAACTGCTAAATCACTTCCTTATGACATTTCTCCTATTGTTATACTGTGATCTGATGCCCATTATTAAATTCTTATGTGTAGTTTATAATCTGTTACATACACTGTGTATGTAGAATGTGCCCCCAAAATGACCAGGTTCCCAGAGAACAGGGCTTTCATCCTCTCGTTCCAAGTCTCTCATGATGTCACCTGATAAATTTGTTGCTGTGATGAGAAGAGTACTTCATTTAGAATCTGAAATTAATCTACCTGTTGTTGTTTTGATGCAGGGTAAGATCCAGTACCATGAATACATCACTGAAGGATTTGAAAACATGCCAGCTGCATTTATGGGAATGCTAAAAGGAGATAATTTGGGGAAAGCAATAGTGAAAGTGTGAAAAAAATGACACATGGAATCTAGAAATCATTTGATTACCTACTTTCTTTTTAACCATTTAGTAAAACTGTATACTGTTTTCATTTTCTGAGAAAAAGTAATTGAAATTAGTTTGATCTACCTATTAAAATACATTTAAGTGGTATGTAATTAGCAACAGAGAATGAAATTTTCATAGAGAACAGCCAGTCACCTCAATGTCTACTACAGCTCCTTCTGGGTTATGGTAGAAAATAACAGCTTTAGAGTCCAGAAGTTAACTGCCTCTGTGAACTTGGATCTCTGCTTTTTCATCTAGTAAGTGAGGATAGTAGCATCTGCTTCATACACATATTATACATTTTTTAAAACACTAGCATAACTATAATTTGCAATTACAATATAGGTAGATCATGGGGAAGGCAGTACAACATGAAGACAAGTAGTGACTCTACAGCATCTTACTATGCTGACAGTGACCGCAATAGTGGGGGTGAGGACTTGATAAAATGGGTGAATGTTGAAACCACTGTGTTGTTTATGTGAAACTATCATAACTGTATATCAATGATACTTTAATAAAAAAATAAAAATTAAAAAAGGACACAAAACAAACAACAACAAAAATAAAACAAAGCACACCAGCATAATGCCTGGCATATATTAGGCATTCAGTGTTGGCTCCCTCCCTGTAGAAATCAGTGAATTTGAAGTCCTAAGATCACCACACCTTCTGCTTATGATTACACAAAAAGAAATAACCATTGCTAATGTAGATGGGTCTTGAGACAGCCCACAGCGGTCCTCTGCAGGTGAGTCTAGTAACACAACAGACCAAGGAAGGAATCTATCGTTCACAACAGCTACGAAAAGAGAACACATGGTTATAAACCTACAAAATACGTGAGGTTTATAGGAAGGAAGTTTCAAAACATTACTGAGACTTGAATATATGGAAAGGTACCAGACTCTTGGACAGGAAGATTCAGAATAATAAAGATGTCAATTCTGTTGATCAAATCCGTTGCCAAGTAGAGGAGGGGTTAATTGTAGTACAGTGACAAAATGGGAGAAAAAAAAGCATGTGTGTAAAACCTCTGGAAAGATAATAAGAAAACTACTGACTACAGTGATGTGTCTCAGGGAAGAGAACACCACTGCCCAAAAGAGGGACGAGAAAAACGTCACACTGTATACTTCTGTACTTTTTGAATTCCGAATTTTCAAATTATTCACTATTACAAATACATTAAAAAAATAAAAGTCCCTGCCTTTCTGTGTCCCCTGCCCCTATGGGGGGGAAATAAAATGGGTGAAATTGAACTCAGGGAAAGTGTGTGGGCGCCCCCTGGTGTTTTTGACTCAAACTTGTCCCCACTGAGCCTCCAGCAATTTGGAGGTAACAGTTGAAGTGTTCCTACTGGAGCAGTGTTTCCCAGAGGTTTCTGGCCTTGGGCTTCTACTCCAGTGACCTGGGAGTCTGTATCTGCCTGCCTGGCCCTCCAGCTTTGGGGACAGTGGTTTGTGACCTCAGTTCTCTGCTGGATCTAAAAAGAGTTGATATTTCAGTTTGTTCAACTTATTTCTTGTCGTCAGGACAGTGACACCTTCCAAACACAACATATTTAGGACCAGAAAACAGAAGTCAAGAGCATATATTTTAAATTTTGATATTTTTTTCTTGAGTGTTGGTGCTTTTAATCACCTAAAAAATCTTAGCTTAGCCATGAAATTTTTCTCCCATATTTATTTTCTTCAAAAAATATTTATTAGATTTTCACTCCCTAGCAAATAATAGCACATGATTTTTTTTTCTTTTCCTTCACATCAGATGGGTAATGTGCCTGTGTTGTAGCAAGGTTTGAGGGATCCCATATTTTATTTTGTAAGTTTTACACGTTTAGCTTTTATGTTAGATCAGTGATGAAGCAGGGACTAGGGGATTGGGACTAACTGTGAAAGTGGCAAGACAGAATTTTCTGGGGGTGATTTCAGTGTTCTGTTGGGGTGGGGATTACACAAGGGCAGACATTTATCAAAACCATAAAATGGTACATTTAAACCTGTGCATCTTATTGTAAATTATACTTGAATAAAATAAAACTATAAAAAGAAAAATACATCCAGTACAAAATGTAAGCCACAAGTCAGGAGCTTACTTGCTACCAAACTGCTGTGGACCCCTTAGCTTACTCATAGGCATAAAGTACAATAGACAGCCAGGGTAAGGCTGAAGTCTGTAAGATCTACAACCATGAGATACATACTTTGTGGAAAGCCTCCCAGGATGAAAACAAGGTAAGTGGAAGTCTGTATAAGGGGGGATGAACTCCCTACTGTCATCCTGCTATGCAGCCACCTGCCTACTGCACAACAGGCAGGCTTATAGCTCCTGGTAGATTAGAACCTTTTCTGGAAAAATTGTAGAACCTTCTGGAGAATTTACACTGCTCTAAGAATGAGTGCCAGACACATTTAGGGTCTCCAAAGGCAAAAACTAAGTGAACACCCAATCATCCTTCCGTGAAACCCATATTTGGCCAACTGTTCCCAAGTACTCAAGCATCTAAGACAGAAACCCTGAACTTTTGAGGAAGAAACATCGATCAGATCAGATTTTGGGTTGTCTCTCTTGAGTAAAGTAGGTACTGTGTGAGGGAAGAATGAAAGGGTGTCGTGATCAGGACAGATTTGGGCAGAAACAATATGTGCTCACATGAGAGGAAGACTTATTTCCCAGCCCTCCTTGCAGGTAAGTTAGGGTCATGTGACTAATTCCTGGTCAATGGAAAAGAGTAGAAGTGATTTCTAAGTCAGATGTTCCCAAATGTTCTTGGTTACAGCACCCTTTGTACCAAAATCATCTTACCACAGTGTCCCTAGGCCAAAAAAGTACTTTGACAGTTTCATCTGCTAGATAGGTCCAAACAATAAAATAGTAGTAACTGATGCCATGTCTAATAGTTAAGCTGTGTTTCCCTGAAATTCAAATATCCTGGGAAGCCCTAACAAGTTTCTGCAATACCCTTGGACCCCCTCACATCTAGTTGGGATCCATAGTTCTAAGCTGTGTCTAGGCCAGTGCTTAAATACACTGTATAAGGCTCTAATCCTTGCTTTTCCTGCCTCTGGGACTTCCAGATAGTGTAGCTAAAAAATGACGTAAAGCAACTAAATGTTGGAAGTGTGTCTGGGAAATAAACTTTCATTGAGTTAAGTCACTTTGTTTTGCTGGGTTCTCTAGTACAACTAACTCTACTGTCTAATAAGGCAGCCACTTACAGCTACTGAGAACGGAAAACACAGAGCACCACATTTCAAGATGTAAAAAACTGAAGCAGAGTGAATATTTTTCCATTAAACACCACTTTATTTTTAGGTAGAACTACAACTCACTTTTAACTGTTGCATCGCATAGGACATTGTCATATTGTTAATACTTGTACAAGAACGTGCATTATTTCTAGTATTACAAAGAAACACTTCACCAACCTAGTCAGTATTAACAGATTGATTCAGCTCAGGTGACTTTTCTATGCACTGAAATAACACCACAATGTGTTTGTTCACTTGGATATTTTATATAGATAGCATAAGCTGAGGTGTACCTATGCAGACAGCACAAGTTACAGTGATACCTATGTAAATCAGTCACAAATTGAGATACTTGCTATTTTAATATAATTGAATTGCTTTCTAGATTAAAAAAATATGGAAAAATATTTTAAATTTCAAATGAAGGCATATTACTTAGGCAGAAATTCAGTGCAATACAGAAGCTAGTACTATGACTAGTAAAGAAAAAAAGTAGAAGAGGGCACAGTGCATATTCAAAGATGAATAGCAGTTGCAACTTACTGCAGGCACAGTGACAAAGCTGTGGTACACAAAAGTGTTAAATACAGTAGACAATATTTAACAATAGCTAATATGTCATTTTTTTAGTGACAATCTAACGAACAAGCTTGGTAAGTATTCTAATAGTCAAAAATAATCCACAAGATTAGTCACATGAAAATGAAAATCAAATTTTCATCAAAAAAATTTTTTATGATTTTTAATAGGATTTTGAGCTGGTAAACTTGGCCAGTTACAAAATAGTTTGAATTCTGGCACATACACACACACACACACACATACAGACACACACACCTACACACAATCTTAGATAGATGACAAAAGAAATTTTAATTATCATAATTTAGAAAATTATGACACTTATAAAGACATCTACAAAAATTTAAATTTTCAATTAGCCCTCTAAGCAATTTTGCTCACAGAATACAAGAAGTTTCTAATATCAAAGATCAATTGATTGAAATTTTGAAAAATTTCAAGTATTTATCTTTTACTTTGGGTGAATGATTATAAGATACTGCCCAATGAAAATTTTGGGTACATTGTGTCTCAAAGAACATCTAAACTTACAAAGAAATGTCAATTCATTGCCTAAAAACTCAAGCTCATGACAGATATTTTTGATATCTGTCAAAGAATTTCACCAGTGATAGAAAAATTAGTTTCTACCATAAGACTGGGACTCTATGTTAAGTCAGAAGACCAGGTGTATACCAGGATTTTAAAGCACAAGAATGTTTTTGTCATTGCTTTATTCCATTGTCTGATAAATATTGAAAGTATTTGTATTGTTTTCTGAAGCAGATTCCAAAAAAGAGTCAGAGATACAGATGTTAAAATTCTTCACCATATATGTGCAAATGCTGTAAACAATCATTGCTAGTTTATGGAACTGTTGAAAATAATGTTTTTAATGATTGTAGGTTCTTGACCAAGGTTCCTTGGTTGAGTTGTAAAAGAATCTTACAAAGATTTCCTTTACTAGGAATTCCAACTCACAATTTTTCTTGAAACAAAAGGAATGCTTACCAAATATTTAATAATCAAAGACAAAAAGTAGGAGTGTGATTTATGCTTCTCCCTAATATCACAACTGCATATGAACAAGGTAAATCTGAAGCTACTTAGAATGGGAAAAACATGTGACCGCAGATAAAAGAAATGAGTTAAAATTGAAACATCTCATAATACAAAAAATAAACTACTCATTCTTTAAATATTAGTCAATATGCAAATTTTAAACAATCACATAGCATTGCATAAATTGGCTGTAAAAAATGAGACAAATGTGAAGAATGGCTTGTTGATACTGATAAACTTCATTATTTCCATTAATGCAAAACCTTGCTGAATTTGATGTTAGTAACACTGAGTTGGCACATGTGTTAGTGAATTACTTAAACAGATTAAGAGTTTTTAAACTGATATGCTTTTGCTTCAAATTCAAATCAGTTCTAATAAAAAGGTGAACAGTTTTGTTAATGTGGATGCAAAAATCAAAGGAAAATAATTTTTTGATACTTGATTCAGTTGTTGAAAAACTTTGTATTTAGAGCAAAATACATTTGGAAGAACTATGTGAATCTTCTTCTCAACTCATGGATCAACTACTTCAAATGAAAGCTTAGTGTATGAATTAAGATGTGCTCCAACTATAAAACACACCACTGGATTTTAAAGATAATGTAAAAAGTAATATAAAATATCTCATCAATGATTCTTACATTGACTATGTTGAAATAATATTATGGCTCTATGGATGAAATAATATATATTATTAACTTCACTTGTTTTTCTTTACTTTTTAACAGAGGCTTGTAGAAAATGTGAAATTACCTAAGCGGCTCACATTGTATTCCTATTGGACAATGCTGCAATAACTGAAACACCTTCTGGTCAGCTTTTTAGAGCCCTCTTTTCAAATATGAAACTTCCAATGTGAAAGGAAACAAGGAAAACAAGTCAGAGGGCAGATAATGCAGGGAGCAGAATAACACTGAAGATGCTACATTAGCATTGCCAGAGAAAAAAAAATTTCACCCATGGAATGGAAACAGAATATTTAAAAAAGAACAGAGATTCAGAAATGCAATTTGAAATAAAACAACAGAAACAAACATTCCAAACATTTAGTAGTAGAGTTGGAAGATAAAGTTGAAGAAATCTTCCAAAAAGCAGGATAAAAATCAGACACGGCTGGGGTCATGTCAGGGAAGGGAAGATGGAGGAGTAGGAAGCGCCAGGAATCCACATCCCCACCTAGACAACAACTGTACTTGAACAAAGTATCTACCGTGATTACTGTGACACACAGGGAGTTTACTTTAAAAGTTGCAATGTCCAGGGGAAACCTTGACTGATAAACTGCAATTATTAATAGTGGTGGATTTTTAGTCTTCAGCACAGAAGCAGCTACCTAATCCCCCTCACCCAGACCCACGGTAGGCAATAAAGTACCTTTTACTCCAAATATCTGAGGTTCTGAGTTCTGATTAGGCAGGATGGCTACTTCTGGTCATGGAGGAAGAGCAGAGGCCAGCTGCCATTCTTTCAACTTCCACTGGCTAAACTAGCTTCCAGAGGATTTAAAGGGGTGGCACCTGTTTTCTGGGACATGAGGGAAAAAATGCATTTGTGGGAGAATTTAGGAACTGAATGCCTGTGCTCAGGAAATTCAGGGTCAGAAAAAAACAGAAAAGTTTAAGCATTCACCAGACTGACCCTCAGCACAGAGACACCCTGAAACACTAAAAATAATAACTCTGGGAAGAGGGCAAACGCCCGATTTCCAGAGCTAGCACACTGTATGATTAAAATGTCCAGTTTAAAAAAAATTCACAGTGCAAAGAATGAAAGAGGGAACGATGGCACATTCAAAGAAACGAAATGTCACTAGAAAATGTGCCCGAGGAAGCCCAGATTTCAGACTTGCTAGACCAAGACTGTGAACCAACTGTCTTAAAGATGCTCCAAGAGCTGAGGTGAGGTTCTGATCATGGTAGCAGATCAAGAAAGAAAATGAAGATTCTTTAAAGCAGGAAAAACAGGGGAGTATGTATCCATTATGACTTCAGAGGGCAATGATCTCCTTGGTCCCACTTTATAAAAAGACAACGGACATGCTGAACGTCAACGGGGAAAACAGATCCAGAGATTTAGCAAAGCTTGTGGATTATCAGAATCACTCTGTAGGGAGAGACACCCCGGGACTCCAGCCTGGAAGACTCTCAACCTTAGGAGCTCTACTCTCCTGTAGAGAGCTGTCACCCATAGCCTGAGGGTGGAAAATGTTCAGCTAGCAAGTTGAAACTTACTGCACCTAAAGATAAACTGGAGGGACGCCTCACCAGTGCCCCGGCTTTGGGCACCCGTTTCTTCAGGCCACACCTTTACAGGCGTCGTTCCCACACAAGGGGGAAAAGCCCACGAACATGCTACACTCGATAGGCAATAAGCTGACAGTGTGTTTTAAGAATCTTAAAATGTTTCTCCCCTTCGATCAAGCGGTCCCACATGAGACAAATTCTGAGAAAAACACAAAACAGCAACAACAGAAACAGAAGTGCTTACCAATACACACGCACACAGAGCACCTCCACTGGCTCCCCACTGACCTCGTAATGAAAGCACAGCTCCACAAAAGGGCTGCAAATGTCTTTAAAATGCAGGCCCTGAACTGTGGCGACAAGGAGTGAAACTGACTACCTGCACTTCAAGTCTGAGCCACTCTCCTATGTGCTCCCACAGCCCTATCTATGCCTCCTTTTCAGAATTTAATATGGGTCATTTTAGCTGTTACTTGCAATCATACTGTCACCCGCATCCTCATTCTACACACACATAGTCTTAACACACAACTGGACTTTTACAGGGTGGGAAACATATATTATTCATCTGATCTCTTAGAGTTCCCTGTATATACTAGGCATTAATAAATATTTGTGCAATTTGTGAAAATGGATATAAGGCATATGTCATTTTATTGTGCTTTGCTTTATTGCACTTCACTGATACTGTTTTTTATAAATTGAAGGTTTGTGGCGGCCTGTGCTGAGAAAGTTTATTGGCGCCATTTTTCCAGTATCATTTGCTCACAACTCACACAGAATTGCAAAGTTTTTCATTATTATGTTTGTTATGGTGATCTGTGATATTTTATGTTACTATTATAATTGTTTTGGGGCAACACGAACTGCACCCATCTGACAATGAACTTAATGTGTGTTCTGGCTGCCCTACTGACCAACCAAACCCTGTCTCTCTCCGTCTTCGGGATTCCCTATTCCCTGAGACATAACAATATTGAATTTGGCTCAATTAATAATCCTACAATGGCCTCTAAGTGTTCAAGTCAAAACCTAGAAATGATTAAGCTTAGCAAGGAAGGCATGTCAAAAGTCAAGACAGGCCAAAACCTAGGCCTTTTATGCCAATGGGCCAAGTTTGGGATGCAAAGGAATAGTTTTTGAAGGAAATTAAAAGTGCTACTTCAGTGAACACATGAATGATAAGTGAAACAGTGTGGTTGCTGATAGGAAGAAAGCTTTGGCTTCTGGATAGAAGCTCAAACTAGCCACAACATTCCCTTAAGCCAAAACCTAATTCAGAGCAAGGCCGTCTCTTCAATTCCATGAAGGCTGAGAGGTGAGGAAGCTGCAGAAGGAAAGCTGGCAGCTAGCAGAGGTTGGTTCATGAGGTTTAAGGAAAAAAGCTGTTCCCATAACATAAACGTGCAGGTGAAGCAGCAAGTGCTGACGTAGAAGCTGCAGCAAACTATCTAAAAGATCTAAGATAGTCAATGAAGATGGCTACACTGAACAGATTTTCAACGTAGATGAAACAACAGCTTTATACTGGAAGACACCACTAGGACTTACACTGCTACAGAGAAGTCATTGCCTGGTTTCAAAGCTCTGAAGAATAGGCTGACTCCCGTAAGGGCTAATGCAGCTGATAACAAAGTTGAAGCCAATACTCATTTGCCATTCTGAAAGTCCCAGGGCCCTTAAGAATTATGCTCAATCTACTCTGCCTGTGCTGTATAAATGAACAAAGCCTGATGGCAGCACCATCTGTTCACAACATGGGTTTCTGAATATTTTAAGCCCACTGTGGAGACCTACTGTTCAGAAAAATGGACTGCTTTCAAAATTTTACCTCTCTTGGACAATGTACCTGGTCACCCGAGAGCTCTGATGGACATGTACGAGATTAATGCTTTCATGCTTGCTCATATAACATCCATTCTGTAACTGTGGGTCAAGGGGTAATCTCAACTTTCAAGTATTATTTAAGAAACATACTTTGAAAGGCTGTACCTGCCACAGGTAATGCTTCCCCTGATAGAACTGGGCAGTAAATTGATAATCTTCTGGAAAGGATTCACCATTTTTGATGCCATTAAGAACATTCATGAAGAAATAAGAACAGGGACTCAAACAGATATTTACACCACCATTCACAGCAGTGTTATTAACAATAGCCAAATATGGAGCAAATAGCCTCAATGTCCACTGATGGATGAATAGATAAGAAAACGTGGTACAGACATACAATGGAATATTATTCATCCTTAAAAAGGAATTAAATCCTGACATATGCTACATAACATGAACCTTAAAAGCATCATGCTAAATGAAACAACCCAGACACAAAAGGACAAATACTAAATAATTTCATTTATATGAGGTACCTAGAAAAATAGTAAATAATTCCACTTATATGAGGTACCTAGAATAATCAAATTCACAGAGACAGAAAACAGCATAGTGGTTACCAGGGGCTGGGAGGCAGAGAATGAGGAGTTATTGCTGAGTTGTTTCAGTTCAGGATGATAGAAAAGCTGTGCAGGTGGATGGTAGTGATGGTTGCACAACAAACAATGTACTTAATGTACTTAATGGCACTGAGCTGTACCCCCCAAAAGGGCTAAAATGGTCAATTTTATGTCATGTGTATTTTCCCACATCAACAAGAATTTAATGGTAAATTAGAGTAATTTGTTGACAGGAGAAGCCTTGTCCTGTCCTGTGACCTGAAAGAAATGCCTTCAGCATTAAGAGGCAAAATTTTAAGAAGCAAGGTCTTCATTTTAAAGTACAATGTGTCATAGGACAATTTTAATACACCCCAATGAAGATAAATAGCACAAATACAGGTTAATAAAAGCAATTCTATATGGAGTCAAAAGAAGTTTAAAACCTTTGTATGATTTGATGTAATACAAAAATAATTTAAGTATGTAGATGAGAGGGATTAAATATCCTTTAGGCAACTATACATAGTTATTGAAAACAATCTTTTGATAACTATCATGCAGCAGGGTTTGAGGTTGCCCTCGGTAGCTAATACATGGTATTTAAGTTCACACTAGATAAAAACTTGTCTGTAGAAAAAGAACTACAACTCAATAATAACAACCAACTTTTTTAAATGGACAAAATATTGAATAAACATTTCACCAAAGAAGGTATGTGAATAGCTAAAGAGCACATAACATCATTAGCCACCAGGGAAATGCAAATTAAAACCACAAAGATATTACTTCAACCACTAGGATGGTTAAAATAACAGACAGTAGCAAGAATGGGTGAGAGAGTAGAGAAACAGGAACCCTCACACACTGCTGCTCAGAATGTAAAATGCTGCAGTCCCTTTGAAAACAATTTGACAATTTCTTAAAAAGGTAAACAAAAAAGTTACCATTAGAGCCAGCAACTCAGACACCTGCTTAAGAAAAATAAAAACAAGTCCACACAAAGACTTAACAAGCTAATGTTCAAAGAGCAGCATTATTTTTAACTGTCAAACACTGGAAATAACCAAATGTCCTTCAACTGGTGAATGGACAGAATATTGTATGCCCATAACATGAGATATTTCACAATAAAAGGAATGTAGGATGGATATGCTACAATATGGGTGAACTTTTCACTTAGTGAAAAACTAGAAAAAGACCACCTGTGATTCCATTTGTGTAAAACATCCAGAAAAAGCAACTCTACAGAGTCAGGGTGTAGACTGATTTGTGGTGCCTGGGTTTAGGGGTGGGGCTGCAGATTAACTGAAAATGAGCATGAGGGATCTTAATGAGGTGATGGCATGCTCTGAAAGTGGATTATGACGACGACTGCACAACTCCATGAATTAGCTAAAACTCACTGAATTGGATACCTGGAAGGCCTTTTATGAAATTACAAGATAATTTACACCTCAATAAAGTTGTAAAAAAAAAAAAAGTTTCTGTTCCAGATTCCCCACTGATGTTGGTATAAAACATTTCTGATGAATGTGGGAGATGAAACTACAGTAAGCATCCTGGAACAAACCTCAAGAATGTTATGTATTTAATTATTCCTATAAATTACATATTTTCAGGAAAAAACCAGGGTTTGTATCTTTTCAGAAGAAAAATGAGGGTAAATGACTCTCCTCAGCCATATTCTTTTCATGGCTAGAACGTCTCTAATTAGTCCATTTGGCAATAACTATGCAGGTTTATCACACAGCAATATTTGAACTCGAGGCCTTGGCGGGAAGTGGGGACACAGGGAAGAACCAACATTATCCAGAGGTAGCACTGTAAACCAAAACTCATTAAATCACAGCAAATATTGCTGAGTCACAGAACATTTAAGATCTCTTCACTTTCGTAAACTGAAAGTTTTCTAGATTAGTTCTCTTTTTTATAGGAGGTGGCTCCTATAAAACATTAAGGAGCTCTACACTTTCGTACACTTGAAGTTGTCTGGATTAATTCTCTCTTTATAAGAGTGACCTCAACTTTTATCTGGAGGAACTTTGTACTACTGTTGAGTCTGTGGGGATCCTCCAGGACCCTACGACCTGAGACCAAACCTAACTGCCTCAGGGCTTTTAGTACCTTTTTTGGTTAGAAATTATTATTCTGAGTCTACCAGTGAAATTACAAGGAATAATCTCCTACCACCTATCCATTCCTTTGACGTCTAATTTCACAACAGAAAATGTAACTGAAAATTTATTCTGTACCCTTTCTACAATCTTTTCCTGAATTTTACTATCAATGGAGTCTCTTTATAGATTTTAGAATATGTATTCTACAGATGGTAGGAGATCATAGTAACAAATTCCTAAAGTGAGCAAGTAATATAAATGAGAACTTGTTACGTAAAAGAGTAGATTCCCCAAATGAAGGAAGCAGCTGCTACACAAAACTAGCTAACTGCCCCACTGATACATGGTCCCAGTGTTGTCAGCCCTTATAGTTTTCAAAATAAAATTTCCTGGTTTTTAAATGGTGCCAATTGCACACACACACACACACACACACACACCTTACCATAAAGATCAACTAAAACATGTCAAATGGCCCAAATATAGTTTGTAACCTTTACCATACAGAATGTTTACACTCCAAATATAGGAATCTGTATTTAGTATAGGTAAACTTTAAAAAATAGGATTCTATTTCGCAAAACACAATCCATCCAGAATAGCTGGGTTCAGCTCCCATTTCCTCCTCCTTCCCGCCCCATCTATTTTTCTAGAACTACTCTCCTGGCTCAATGGCTCAGGTGTATGCCCTCTAGATTCCCAAACCCCTTAGCCAATGCCCAGAGCAACACAGGTTGGGGTGATTTGTTCAATACAACATTCCCTGAAGACAAACTTGTTTGAGCTTTACTGACTTGTTTCTGGCTCAAATACTCAAAAAGTACATTGCATTCTCATTAAACTAGATGTTCAGTATCCAAAATGAATAATTTTCTACTAGAGAAATTTGGAAATTCCAATGAATCAAAGATGTTTAGCTTATTCCCATAGCTTCAGAGAATATCAGAGGTACCAAAAATAAAAACCTTAGAAATCATTAGTTCTACCCTCTGATTCTACGAGTGAGGAACCTAGTTTAGAAAGGTCAAATGATTTGCCCAAGGTTATACAGTGAATTGGCAAACTGGGACAGAAACCAGGTTATGTGAATTGTCTACTATACTACTTGGTAACAGAAGGTGAAGCTAGGAGAAAGGGAAACCTGAAAAAAAGTGGTTAGTAAGTGGGGTCTGTGCACCCTCTCCTGCTTAGGTTCACATTTAGCCTTTTCGAATTATTTCACATCTCATTCTGCTTTCTCCATTTTCCACATGACTTTACAAACTGTTATTACTATCTACCAAAAGCTGACAAAAAAATATGGGTAAATGGAAAGTGTATTTTTCCCAGCTGCTAACACATCACAGTTGCAGCTACTGATCAACGCTGTGTTGGTTTACATGGCAGGTTTAAAGTAAGGGGCCATTTTGACTAAATCTCCCCTGACCTTACTATATTCCAAGAATTATTCTCCAGAGTGAAATCCTCGATGCCTGATGAGGCCTGAATTACTTTTAAATGTTTTCTCACATTCCTTACATTCATATTCTCTTCTGCCAGTATGAATTTTTAAGTGTTCTACAAGGATTGAGCTTCGACTGAAGGTCGCTCCACAATAGTTACATTCATAGGGCTTCTCTCCAGTATGAATCCGATGATGTTCATTGAGAGATGAACTCTGACTGAAGGATTTCCCACATTCTTTACATTTATAAGGTTTCACACCAGTATGAATTCTCTGATGACGACTCAGGAGGGAATGGGTAGGGAAGGCCTTCTCACACTGATTACATTTGTAGGGTTTTTCTCCTGAATGAAGTCTCTGATGATAAATTACAGATGTAAAATGGCTGAAAGTCATCCCACAATCATTACACAAATATGGTTTCTCTCCAGTGTGGATTCTCTGATGTCGGGTAAGGCAAGAATTCTGTCTAAAGGCTTTTCCACACTCACCACATTTGTAGGGTTTCTCTCCAGTATGAATTCTCTGATGTTTGGAAAGGGATGAGCTATGACTGAAGGACTTTCCACAATTGTTACATGTGTAGGGTTTTTCTCCAGTATGAATTCGTTGATGTTGAATAAGAGATGAACTGTCACTAAAGGGTCTCCCACATTCTTTACACTTATAGGGTTTTTCTCCAGTATGAACTCTCTGATGTTTAATGAGGTGGGCACTCAGGGTGAAAGATTTTCCACAATCATCACATTGGTAGGGTTTCTCTCCACTATGAGTTCTGTGATGTGGTGTGAGTGAGGAACTGTCACTGAAAGCTTTTCCACATTCATTGCACATATATGGTTTCTCCCCGGTGTGAATTCGCCTGTGTTTGGTCAGTGAGGCACTATAGCTGAAGGCTTTTCCGCATTTGCTACATTTATGGGTTCTCTCTCCAGTCTCACTTCCCTCATCTTTATTTAAAGTTTCATCTTGACACAAATCCTTCCTGCACTTTTCACAGGTAGAGGAGTTTTTTCTCTTAGTATGAGATGAGTTTTGAGTAAAGGCTACCCCACAGCTACTGCACTTCTGGGACTTACCCCCCAAATGAATTTTCTGATGTTTTTGATGTTCAGTAAGAGATGAAGAGTGACTTAAGACTTTCCTGCCTTCGTTACATTTCCGTGGCTTTTCTCCAGTATGTTCTTTGCGGGTCAGAAGGTCTGAATGAAAACTGAAGGGTTTCTTGCCTTCATTATATCTCCGAGATTTCTTCCTTAAGTAGACTCTCAGATGTTTAATTAGGTCCGAATTTTGTTTGAAATTACTTCCAAAAGGGCTCTTGTCTGGGTCAAATTCCTCACCCTTACTGCCTCTCCCATGACTTTTCTTTTGTGTGACTGCTACTTGTGAATATTCCTTATGACTACGATCCTCTAATCTGCCATAACGTTTTCTGGATTCTCCCTTCAAGCCATAATCACCACCCGTTAGGTATCTTTCTATTATTTTATCTAAAGTCGATTCTTCCATAAGAACATCTTGATTTCGAACAGATTCCTTCAATTCATCCTCTAAAAGAAATAACAAATATAGATATTTCCTGTTTGCAAGAAAGGCAACTGCTGTATTCAGGACTAAAACAGGAAGAGACAGTAATAACTATAAGGAACATGGATGGCTTGGACAGTTTTCAAAGAGAAGCTTATAAAACAGGGAAAGGAGAAGTGATATAAAGAAATTAGGTAAATATAGGGCTTAGGAAAAATACTGAGGAAGGTGGAAAGTTTGTGTTTTATAATTGAGGTGCAAGTTCTCACACTCTTTTCAGATTTATGTAATAGGTTCAAACTTATTCTTTCAATATCCAATTTATCCTTTTTCCAAATAATAATGATAGTACCAACATTACTGAATAAGCAAATGTCAGGTTCCACACCAGGCACTTTACTTGTATTTCACTTCCTCGTCAAACAGTCCTATGAAGTATGTCCTATTATTATCCCTGTTTATGGATGGGACAACTAGGCACATAGAATGTAAGTAGCTTGCCCAAGGTCACATGTATTATGTGTGATAGAATGAGATTTTTAACCTAGTTTGACACTGAAATCCACACTTTTGGTCCCCATACCATACTGCCTCTCTTCAAAGCAGCCAATAGCACTAAATTTGTAGAAAATATTAAAAACATCACAGATATGTAGCAACAACTATAGTAGACTTCCAAAGGTTACCACAGTCTGGGCCTGATCAACTTTATGGATACTCTAATCAGGCATCCATTTACTGTCCCTACTAACCTACAGCATGTTCAGTACTATTCTCTTAAGTCTTAATACTTCATGCTATCTAGAATGCAATCCTACAACACCTTTACTACTACAAATGTATAAATTTAACAGGGCCTAGGGTTCAAGTCTCATAATCCACACAGAGCTTTCTCTAATACCATACTCTCACTGTTTATACTCTTCTCAGAACTTTGAATTCATTTATTAATCACATCATTCATCCTAGCTCTTAATCATGAGATTATATTATCACTTTTGTAAAACTTTTTTAGAAAAGTTACTATACAAAATCCTATTTTCTGGAAGTTAACCGTTGTTAAAAATTCGGTGTATTTTCTTCTAGAATTTTTGTTATCTTTTAGAATAAAACTATGTGTAATTCTCTCCCATCTCATTGGTAATTTTTCATAAAGATGATTCTAATCAGTTATCCCTTATACATAGCATAGTTTATTCCCTTGCTGAATGTTTATCAAATGACTTTCTTCAAAAGAGAGTCATAAAGTGGGACTACTGAACCAAAGGGTAGGAAAGTATTATACCACATGATACATAATGAGCAGATGAGTACTCATTTCTATCAAATATCTTTAAATCTTTGCAAATTTGATTTATAATAGTATTATTGTTTAAATGTGTATTTCACTGTTGACCAATGACATTGAACATTTTCTTCATGTTCACAGCTAAATTTTGTCACTCTTGTCACCATCTGCTCAAGTTCTTCACCCATTTTTCTGAAAGACTCAGGGTTTCTTACTGACTTGCACTAGCTGTTTGTATATTATGGCTATTGACTCTGCTTTGTGTCCAAAGCTTTTTCTCCAGTCTGTTGTACATGACTTTTTGAATTGGTTGTACCTCTAAATGATGCTTCTTTTATGTAAGCTCTTGGGGTGAGGGGCATATATTTATAGCAAAACTGCTAGATTTTACTCAAAACATTTTTAGAATCCATTTTTGGAATTATTCTCCCAAATGCTACTTAAACATAAGATAAATGCTGTACTTTATTTGTGGAACTGTACTGGAAACAATAATAACTTTGCTAACATGAATAGTTAAGAAGATGGTATAAGGCAAATTACTGTTTTCTTCTTTAAAATAAACAAACCAAGGTATTAATACAGAAAGTAATCATTTATTTTTTAAATATAAATTTAATATATTTATGGTTAAATTTTAAGGCAAAGATAAAGAAAAATATGTAATCCCTCAAGGAAAACCAGTGTTCACATGAATGTCCTCAAGATATTAAAAATCTACATACATCTATATATTTAGGCATTTACATGTATATGTATATTTTTTTCCCTTTAATAGAAACAAGATTATACTACATATGTTGTCCATGAGATAAATTCCTATTTATCCTTTAAGACTCAACTCAAAGGTTAAATAAGCTCTTGTTCTATTTTCCCATTGCTCCTTATATATGGCATTACTGTAGCATGTATCCCATTATGCACATTTTTTTTCGTTGGTATCTGCATCTATGGAGTCCATAAAAATGTACCTTTCTCATCTCCTAGTTTGGTGCTTACCTAACAGCTCAGCTGCTGCTCCGTGACACCACCAGAGCATTCATGCCAAGGACCCTTTCCCATGGGCTGCACGCAGTTAATGACAAGTTTAAAAGGATACTTAGGCAGGCCCATTTCCATGAGGCGTTGACTCTGATAGACAACTCTGGCTGGAAGACTCTTTTTTGGCCTTGTCAAGACTAAAATGAACTTCGGTCTAACATGCTTCCTATCCAACCTTCCTTCCTTCCCTTTCTCACTCGCAGGTGTTAGCCTGCATCATGTGCTGAAAGTTCTCTCAACCTCTTCCAGCTCCCAGTCCCATTTTCCTTCAGTAGAATTCTTCTAAGTACCCGGCATGGATAATCATGTCTTGGTACCTACTTTTTGGAGGATGCACACTAACAGTCTTCCCTGTTAAAATGAACCTTCCAAAAAGCCAAGGGGTATATTCTAATCATCTTTCTATTTTGGCATCTAGCCCACCCAACATTTCAAAAACTCTTCTCAAATAACTTGGTAAGCAACTGTTTTAAGTTCCTTGTCTACTTTTTACCAACTCACCTGGTCTGGAGCCTTCTGACACTTCTTTTTCCAGCAGCCATGGTAGTTCAACCCACTTCAGTTGGGAAATCAAATCTAATTTAGACACTGGGAAGCCTGCTCATAGAGAAAATAATAGAAAATGGCTGTTTTTGCATAAAACAAAGACATTCCAGCATTCATACATAGCCTCTGATTCTCCAGGGAAGAGAAGATGCTGCCAAACAGAGTCATCAGTACTAGAATTTGAAATATATGCACACCTATGTTCATTTCAGCATTATTAACAATAGCCAAAGTATGGAAGCAATCCCTGTGACCACAGATAGATGAACGGATAAAGAATTTGTGGTACATATACACAATGGAATATTACTCAGACACAAAAAAGAAGGAACTCTTGCCATATTCAGTAACATGGATGGACCATGCCAAGCAAAGTCAGTCAGATAGAGGAAAACAAATGCTTTATGATTTCACTTATACATGGAATCTAAGAAACAAAACAAACCAGCAAAAAAAAAAAGAAATAGACCCATAAATACTGACACCTATTGTAGGTCATCATAGTGGAGGGGAATGAAAATATATGAAGGGGATAAAGAGGTACAAACTTCAAATTACAAAAAAAATTAGCCATAGGAATCAAAGTACAACATAGTATAATCAATAATACCGCAGTACATTGGTATGATGACAGGGAATAACTACACTTAACATGGCAAGCATTTAGTAATGCACAGAATTATTGAGTCACTATATTGTATATTTGATACCAATATATCAACTATATTCCATTAAAAAAAATTAACATCACAGAAAAAAATACTGGAATGTGAGGAGAAAATGGGGAAGGTATGGCCTTGATGACAGCAAAATGATGCTCAGCATTTCCAGTTCAATGAAGTAAAGACCCTTTTATGGAGAGAACACTGCAGAAAGGTACATTTTCAGGACCCATTTTTAGGATTAAGTCATATTATCCTTTCATGGCCAACCAAAGAGTTACTAGTACTTTTCTTTCAATAACAGTGGACAAAAAAAATACCCAGCTTAGATGCTACATCATGAAGAAAAGATGACTTTACCCAGAAATTCTAGGTTCCTGAAGTTCTCCAGTAGTACCTCTTTATATAACTCCTTTTGAAAAGGCTCCAGTTTCCTCCATTCTCCTCTGGAAAAGTTTACAACCACATCCTTGAATGTGATGAAGTCCTAGAAAACCGAACAGTCTTTTGCATTGAATTATTCCCAAATAGATCCTAAGGGTTCAGAGAAGTGGTTAAGATAAAGTAATAGTTTGATAGTATTTAAATTTGTAAGAATTCCAAAGCAAGCTACAAGTGATATGGATCAAGATCATAACACAATCCCTGCCTTTTCCATTTAGCACCTGGTGTGAAATGTTTTAAAAGAGTTCCCTGGAATGGTTAACATTGATTAAGTCCACCCTAACACACTGATTTGTAGGATTAACAGAAAAATATTAAAAGGAGGATACAAATTACATTCCCAAGCCCCAAATTCACAGCATTAACGTAAACTATAGGCAATAATTAAATACATACGAGAAATATCAGTGACTACATTCCGAATTCTAATTTTCAGCTGGTTGTAAGTAGCAATTATTTTCTATCACAACCAAACACAATCTGTGCTCAGTAACATATTCATACTTGCAATCACTCCAAATGGCAAAGGAGTACAGTTAAAATACATTTTCTATAGCATCCTCTGCATGGCATTTTGAGGCAGTATAACAGAATGGTTATTAGCACTTGTTATTAGCTTCCTGTGGGTACTGTAACTTTGGTGGCTTAAAACAACAGAAGTTTATTCTCCCACAACTCTGGAAGCCAGAAGTCTGAAATCAAGGTGTTGGCAGAGTTGCACTCCCTTCAGAGCCTCTGAGGGGGAACCTGTTCCTTGCCTCTTCCAGCTTCTGCTGGCTGCCAGTGTTCCTTGGCTTGTGACCTTATTACTCCAATCTTCACATTGTTTTCTCCTGTTTGTATGTTCAATCTCTTTCTGTCTCTCTAAAAGGATGCTTGTAATGGCATGTACAGACCACCCTTATAATCCAGCATAATTTCCTTTCAAAATCCTCAGTGTAATCATCATCTGCAAGGACCTTTCTTCCAAAGAAAGTAACATTCATAGATGCCAAAGATTAGGAAGTAGACATATTTTTGGGTGGCACTGTCAGCCTACTGTAGCACTCCTATACACTACTGTAAGAATTTTTTTTCCTAACTGGAAATTATTAGTGTATAGGAAACTGATTTGTAACCAGCTACTTTCCTCAACTATTCAAGAGTTTCAATACTTTTCCAGTTGATTCTCTGAGGTTTTTCCAAATAGACAGTATTATCTGCAAATAATGCACATTTGGCTTTTTCGTACTAATACTTAATCTCATTTCTTTCTCATCTTGCTGCATGGCTAGAATATTCAGGAAATATAAATAGAAGTAAAGTTAGACATCCTTATCTTTTTACTAGCATTGTGAGAACTACTCTTTAATAAGTTTTCCAACATTTGTCAGCTGGAGATTTTTTTATCATGTTAAAGAAAAGCAGTTCTATTTCCACCTAATTTTATCAGGACTAATTCTTGAATTTTAGGAAATAAATTTTTCCTGTTTTTACTAGAGTCAGACTTGTGACCAATTCTGGTCACTGAAATAAAATAGCATGTGAGGAGGGAGCTAGAAGAGATGTGAAGAATGTGAAGAAATGGAGCCTGTTGTAATTATTCTAGTATCTTTATACCATTAGGAGGAGCTCAGCAGGTATTCACTTAAGAATGAAAACCAGAGAAGGGAAGCTTACCCTCGACTCAATATTTGGAAGGACAGAAACCATTTTATCTTCTTCAGGGTTCTCCTCTTGGGAAACAACAGAATCTTGAGAGACTGGATCTAGGAAGGGGGTAAAAACAAAAGTCCAGTCTTTCAAATAAATTTCTCAGACAAGTAATTCTTACATACATCTCTTTGGAGGAAAAGGTGCAAAGGAACAGAAAATAAGTTTTACCCACTCTTACTTAAGCACAAAGAACCACCAGAGATCGAGCTTCCTACTAAACCAAAGCTTTTCCTCCCACTCCATAAAAAAGATTCTTAAATTCACAAAAACTGGTTTCAATTATTCCCTACACCTACAGTTTTAATGCATATAATCTGCATAGTAATAACTATTTTAAAAATATTTATAAGATGTACTAAGGTAAAACAGCCTATTTGCTTTATGTATTAGTTTTTTTCATAGTCCGAGTACAATGCCTTGCACAAGAGTCACTTATTGAATGAAAGCACCAAGCTGGTCTCAAGACTGACTCCTCTTCCGGGATCACCAGCAGATTCCTAAAGACTGAAACCACACATCTGAAGATATGTATTTAAATATCCTGAGATGTCAACAGCTCTTCTAAAAAGGGAAGTTCTTTAAATCATACTTTACTTTCTTATGAAAAGAATTTTACACATATTGATTAGTCAAGAGAAATTAAAATTATGTAATCAAGGAGAAAGGAGATTAAGGAAACTATTCTTAGAATGGAATCTTAGAATTGATTTAGCATCATGAATTGATGCTAGAGCCATCAATTCATGAACTTCTTTATTATAGAGGCCTCCACACACAGGCCCTAATTTTGGGGAAGCCCTATTCTGCAGTGACAGACCAGTAAGAGAGTCAGGGAACCCAATTTTAAATACTGTTACCAGCAAGACCACAAATTAAGCCTGTGGAGGTTAACACTATTTCCCCTCTCTCAGAACCTTTGGCAGAATACGAACTGTCACATATGTATTATTGGGAACCTTATGGTAAGTAGTATGCTATAAATGTTTGAAATATTTACAGCATTTTAGAGGGATTTTATAAAAGTTGAACCATATACCCTCAAAGGGCTATCCACCCTAGAAGACTTTTCATCATTGTTTTACAATGACATAATTTTGTTTATATTTTATACTTTATATATAAAATGCATAATAATGTAATTACGAAAATATAAGTCCCCTGCTCCTCCCCTAATGCTGTGGAACTGCACTATCCAATAGGGAAGCTGCTTGCCACATACGGCTTTTTAAATTAAATCCTCTATTCCTTATTTGCAGTAGCCATGTTCATTTGCTTACCCTGGAGAGTAAAACAGTGCAGGACACATTTCCAGCCCTGCTGATATGGGGCAGCCCCATTCTAGAACCACGCTACTGCACACCCTGTAGCTAGAAGGTAAGGTCTGCGCTGGCTGATATGCTTATAACTCCAAGTATTTTCAAGTAATTTCTTTCTCTCCTGTGTTCTAAGGTGTCCTCTGCTGAAGAGTGAAGGGAGAGAAATGAGTACTTCTTGAGAATCCTCCCTGTTTTATACCTTCACTTGTTTAGTCTTGATGACAGAACTATAGAGAACTTGGGACCCTCTTTTTAACAGATAAGAAAATTAAAGTTCTGGGAGGTTACACAGCTTGCCTAAGATCACACAGGACAAGGCAAGAATGATTTAAACCCAAGCTTAGACTCCTCTTTAGCAATAAACTGCTTTCTTTGGGGGCATTTACTGTCATATCTTGAGATTGCTCTTATTTCCTCCCTCCATCCATAAGGCTCACCTTCCTTTTCTTCAAGCATTTGTGTCAAATCCTCTATTAGAGTTACCACTTCCTCACTATTCTCAGGATGTTGTGACTTTACCCAAATCCTGATCTCCCCAGGCAAAATGGTCAGGAACTGCTCAAACACCAGAATTTCTAAAATCTGTTCTTTTGTGTGGATGTCTGGCCTCAGCCACTGAATGCAGAGCTCCCAGAGTTGATTCAGGGCTTTTCTAGGTCCAGTCACTTCTGAGTAACAAAATCGCCTGAACCTCTGTCTGAAAGACTCTGGGTCAGCAGTGTCTTCTCTTGGGACAGCTTCTTGATCCCCAGGAGTATCCATTCTTAGGACCTTGTTGTGTTCACTTGAGGCCAGAGTTAGAGGGTCTGGGGAGACGGCTGTCATCTTGTTCACTACAGCTTGCAGTGTGTATCACCAGCAGGATCCAGCCCCTTTTAGATCCTACTTGAGTATCAGTCCAGTCCACCAACGGGCACTGCAGACAGCAAAATATCAAGGATTCCAAGGCTTCAGCTTACAGTCTTACAGAAACTGTAGGGAAATATAAGATATTAAAAAGTGAAACAATTGTTAGCCCCCAAAAAACTATTCTTGGCATAGTTCACATATACATACACACACCCCTTTCCAAGGCCTAGAACAGCCCTGCCCAACTACTATGTTAAAATTACAATTATCTTTGTAGGTGAAAAGCTGAGAAGTAATTAGAGGTATCCCTCCAAGAAAACAGTCTCTTTAGACTAAAGATTCATAAGCAACACATTTCAGAAATGGATCCAGTGACATATCCATTCAACAACTGCTGCCCACGTGCCCATGAATGACCACACATTTCTCACCAGTCAGCCACTCAACTCAGGAGCCTGATTTCATACTTGCCTCTCAAATTTCTCAATCAATAACCAAGTTATATTTTTATTTCCTAAAAACCTCTCCATTCTACCCTCTTAAAACTACCTAAGTACAGGCTTCTTCAATTGAGTCTCACACTGTAGCCTAAGGATTCCTTTTAATATGCAAAAGATGGTCCTACCACTCCCCAACTGTCTCAAGATAAAAGTCAAATAGAGACCAAGTACAATGAATGACCTAGATAGAGATCCTGCCCTGATAATCTTACCTCTTGAGCTCTAGCTACCCCTGGTGGACGCTGCAGCCACAAGAACGATCTCCGCATTCCACATTCTCGACCCCCACCCCCACCCCGCCACTTTTGCACTACACTAGAGCCATTCCGTCTCCAAACGCTGCCTCATTTTCCTCTCCTGCCTAACTTTTACTGGTTCTTTAAATTTGCAGATTGTTTTCAACTGTCACCTTTTGCCTGAAGCTTTCTCTGATCCCCAAGGGCATTTCTGCAGAGCCTGCCCTATATTGCCTTTTTTTTCCTCTTCATTCTACGAATAGCCAAACATCTACAATGAGCTGAAAATTTGACACTACGGAGGCAGGCGTGGACAGGTAAGAAAAGTGTTCCCACCCTCACAGGGCACCCATGAAATGACAATACAGCCTGAGATGCGCTACAAAGCAACAAGTGAGAAGACAATCTCCTACTGCAGGTGTGATACCATTAATTACCCACCTCCTAGCACGGAGCCTAGCACACAGTATGAATGACGTCATTTACTCTTCTACCAAATACTAAGCGCCTACCAAGTACCTGGCGTTGTGCTGAGCACCTGAGACTCTGCGGTGACTAAGACACTCGTCTCGGTCTCCAAGGAGCTTATAAGAAAGGATCCGCGAAAATGTGACGCAGGCAAGAAGTTGTTCTCCAACGCGGGGGAAGGGAGATATGTCCCATAAGGGGACGTTTAGCAGTGTCTAAAGGCATTTCGGTTATCACGGCTGGGGAGGAGGGATGTCATGGGTACCTAGTGGGTACAGCCAAGGATGCTGCTAAATATCCTGCAAAACACTGGACAGCTTTGCTCCACTCCCGGACCCCTACCACTAACCCCGCCACACACACACACACGCAAAGAATTCTCTCGCCGAGAATGTCAAAGTACTTAAGTTGCAAGACCACAGCGGCACTGGGGTGATGGATGAGAGCTCCATCATTCAAGACAGTACCCACCTCCCACACAAGCTGCGGCACTGGGAGTGCGCAGCGAGGTCGGGCAGCTGCCCTCGGCCCCCACCCCGCCCCAGGTGTGCCCTCAGAACCGGAGACTTGGCCGCCGTCCCCAGAGGAGGGGCCCGGGACAACCACTACCTGCATCCGGACCTGCAGCCAGGATCAGCGCCACCGCAATAAGCTTCTAGAAGCCGAGCCTGCAGGAGCTGCGCGCGCAAGCCCGCGGTAGGGACACTGCGCCTGCGCATGGGCCCCGAACTACGATTCCCGGAATGCGCTTGTCCCAGTTTGCTAAAGTCCAGTGCTTTCCATAGGTTCCCACCCCGGCCTGTTGCGCATGGTCACTGGGAAGCGGTTGGTGGGTTCGACTGTAGAATTACTGTTGCGCAAAAGGCCTGAAGGCCTAGAACCTTCTCAGGTTTTCAATTCTAGGATGTTCTGTCTCCTTGGTAACCTCAGACCATCCCTCCTCCTTCTCTCCCTACCTTTCCCTGAAACTCAGGCTGGAAAAACCCACCGCAGAAGAGTATTCGTGATGCATTCAAAGCAAGCCATAATTCATGCCGCAGCTTGACATTAATTTGTATCTTCTACACCTGCCACCGTGGTCCAAACTACTATCATCCCTCACCTGAATTATTGCAATAGTTTTCTTGATACCACTTTTCTACTCTTGTGTGTTCAACACACTGCAGCCAGAGAGATCCTTTAAAAATGTAAAATAGACTACGTGCCTCCTCTGCTTAAAACCCTGCCAGTGCTTCTCATTTCACTCAGAGTAAAAACCCAGGTTTTTACAGTGGCTTACAAGGGCCCATGGAATCTGGCCACCCGTAACCTCCCTGACCTCTCTCCCCACTTCCTCTCCTTGTCCTCCAACCTTCTGGATGCTTACTCCTCCCTTAGGTAGCCATGTGGCCTACTTGGCCACCTCTTCACATCTTCTCATTGTAAATGTTATTTATCGTCTTCACTAGAATATCAATTCCACAAGGATAGGACTTATTCTGATTTGTTCCATGGAGATAATGCTCTCAAGGCCCCAGAGCAGTATCTGGCACATACTAAGTGCCCAATAGGTATTTATTGTCTGTATTAATAGGTACTTGTATTGATTGCTAGGGGTATAGCGAAGAGGTTGAGAAACTCCAAAAGCTTTATTTCATTGGGTCCTAATAATTAACAATTAATTAACAACTAGATGACTTTTGAAAAGGTGGAGTTGGGAGAGAAAGACATTTAGAATGAAGGAGCAGGGTGCATCAAGGCCCTGAAATATTTTTTAAATTTTTTATTTTCTTCACAAGGTGAAATTTTTAAAAATTTATTTTTAATTGAAGTATAGTTGACATACAACATTGTATTAGTTTCAGGTATACAAAGTAGAGATTCAAGATTTATGTACATTACAAAATGATTACCACAATTAGTATAGTTATCATCTGTCACCATACAAAGTTCTTATAATATTATTCACTATGTTCCCTGTGTTGTACTTCACAGCCCTGTGACTTACTTATTTTATAACTGAAAGTTTGTACTTCTTAATCCCCTTCACCTATTTCACCCATCTCCCTGCCTACCTCCCCTCTGGCTACCGATAATTTGTTCTCTGTATTGGTTTCCATTTTCTTTTGCTTATTCATTTGTCTTGTGTTTTAGATATAAGTGAAATCATGGTATTTTGTCTTTGTCTGACTTTCTTCATTTAATATAATACCCTCTAGGTCCATCCATGTTGTTACAAATGATAAGATTTTGTTCCTTTTTATGGCTGAGTAATATTCCATTGTATATGTATACCACTTCTTTATCCATTCATCTATCAATAGACACTTAGGTTGCTATTATAAATAGTATATTCCTTGGCCATTGTAAATACTACTACAATAAATAGAGGTACATACTGTAAGATTAATTCCAGCCGAAATAAGCAGGTGAAGAGTGGCAACAAAGGGCCAGGTAGTTTATTTGAACGCAAACACCCTGGTGAGATTTTCCCAGTCTATAGAAATGGGGGCTGGAGAATTCCCACGTAAGCAGACAGGCAACGAGTTTTTAAAGAAGGTAGGGGGAGGCAAAGCTTAGATTTACTGTGGTGCAAGGCTAGCCCAAGGCACATTTTTCAGGTTGGGAGGGGTCAACAGCCGGGGACTTTGGCACATCAGTGTCCGGTGTGCTTGCTTTTCCCGTCAGTGCCCCAGCCTTACATTTCAGCCTTTTGGTTATAATGGGCGCCGACTCGATCTGGCCACTTCTGGCTCAGGAGGGGTGACATGGGGGTGTTTAAGGCTGGTTGACAGCTGGAAGCTCAGTAGGGAGGGGCGAGTATTTGTACAGCAACAGTTGATTGATTTTTATGTGTCATTTCTGCTATGCGCTGTTGAAGGAACTTAAAAACACGTGGACCAATAAGGAGTGTGAAACAGATTGCTGCAACAGGGCCTAGGAGAGGCACTAACCAGGCCATAATAGGGGATTGAAACCAGTTGTATGGATTATTACCTGATATGCCAGTTCCTTGGAGTTCCCTTTTTAGTTTTTGTAGTTTGTGAACATTCTGCTCTACGAGTCCTGGCTCATTGATAGAGTAACAACACCGTTCCCCTTCCCGCGACTGGAAGAGAAGGAGAACAATAGACAGGTCCCTCCCTTCTCTGCAGTAAGGAGGTCTAAAGCATGGCAGTTTTGGAGGGTTACTTGGGCCAAGGAGGTGATTTGCCTCGGGAGGGATGCCAGAGAGGCTGCAGATGCTTGAACAGCTACTTCGAGCCGTCATTCTAGTTTTTCTAGGGCTGAAATACTGTAACCCAGGGCACCAGCGCTCACTCCCATGGCTAGAATGGAGGAAGCGAGGGAGATCCCCGCCACTAAAGGCAGGAGGACTGCTCTCTTGTGACGGGATTCTGAGGTCCAGAAGTTGGTGAACTCAGCTCCTCTGTACAGGCTCAGCCTAGGGATTAGGGTGACTAGCAGGCATTTGCAAAGTTGGTTTCGTATAGGGTCCCATTGCACCACAGGAAAGTGCCTCATGGGGAGCAGAGAAAGGAAGGCTGCTTATAGTGATGTTTTGAGGTTACATTTGCTTCAGGTGTTTCGAATAACGGTACCTCACCAATAGGTTTCGGCTTTGAGGGAGGGCTTGGGGGGCAGGGTAGGCTCTCTCTTGGTGGTATCTGAACTGCCACCACAGGGGTTTCTATAAGGGAAGTAAGTGCAGAGGAAGCATTGTGTTAAGGACATATTGGGGAGGGTGTGTCGGAATAAGTCTAGCCCCTCTTGCAGGAGACTTAACCAAGAAAAGGGAAGGGTCTTAACCTTTTGTTGTATGTGAGTCTGTAGGTGGATTTCTTGGGTTTTCGTCAGGTTCTGGGTAATTTCTCTAAGCTTATCATAATTGATAACTTTTTGGACCGTTGAGTTCATACCTGCCAATAAGTAGTGAACCATGCGATCCCGGCATGCTTCACCCTTGAGAGAATTATAATCCCACAGGGGTTCCTGTAGAGGAATAGCTTCTTTGACCACAGGTTCCCATTCATCTGTGGCATGGGCCTCATTGGCACAGTGCTGTGCCACTGCATGACACGGTCATATTCCTCCGGGGTTAGAGTGGACTGGAGGACTACATGTACATCGTGCCAGGTGAGCTTGTAAGCTCGAGTAAGATATTTAAACTGTTTAGCAAACATTATGGGATTGGAGGAAAAGGATCCCAATTGCTGTTCTACTTGGGACAAGTCTGCCAGGGAAAAGGGAACATGAACCTGCACTACTCCTTCAGCTCCTGCTACTTCTCTCAGAGGAGCTATCATGTGAGCTTGAGACCAACGTGACTTAGAGCAAGTTACAGGAGGGCTAGACCATTTGGGCGGCAGCTGCGGCAAGTAAGACGGTGGCAGATTTGAAGGAGGGGACGGAGGAGGTGACCTTGGTAGGGGGAATACAACCTGGGAATCAGTGTAGAACTTGAAGGCAGGGGACTAGGATATGGGGGAGTTTTATCGAAGTGGAGTCAGCACCTGTGAAGTAAAATGGTGGCGCGACCAGAAGAGAAGGGGAACAAGGTGGAGGAGAGACCGGGAGAGAAGGAGAACAAGGTGGAGGAGAGACCGGGAGAGAAGGAGAACAAGGTGGAGGAGAGACCGGGAGAGAAGGAGAACAAGGTGGAGGAGAGACTGGGAGAGAAGGAGAACAAGATGGAGGACATGAACAATGAGGAAGGGAGTTGGCCCCTGTGGTGGGCCTGGAGGAGCGGGAAGGAGGGTAGCCGAGATCCTCTGCCAAGTCCGTCAGAGAAGAGCCTCCCAGTAACAGGAGTGGTAGAGATAAGCAGTCCTTGGCGGAGGCCTGGGCCAACAAAACTTGAGAAGGAGTACACTTAATACATAGATCTGGATGGGTGCACAAAGTCCAAAAGGCCTGCACATATGGGATTTCACTCCGCTTTCTGCTCTGGTGGCAATAATTAGTTAAGTCGGTGAGGAGGCCAAAATCAAAAGTTCCCTCAGGGGGTCAGCGAGATTGATTGTCCAAGGGATACTGAGGTCCGGCCTCAGAGCAAAGAAAGATTAGCTTCCATTTGTGAACTTCCCGGGACAAATATAGAGTAGCCAGATTAGAAATGAGACACTGCAACAGGGTCTGAGCCTCTGCTTTTGAGGGCTGGTTCCTCATGTCTGCGCCACTTCCCAACTAATCCTGCTGAGAGGAGCGCCCAGTGTCCCAAGCGCACCAAGTCAGGGGAGACAGCCTGGGAGCCTGGGTGAGGGATGTCACCCACACCGCAGGGCCAGGGGCGAGTATCCTGGATACTCCCAACAGATGGGCTGAATACCCAGACCTGGACATACGCATGATTTCTAATGAACCAGGTGAAACAGAGTTAGGAAGGGAAGCAGACTGGGGGAAACTGAGGGACTCACCAGAAAATAGTCCATGCAGCGGAGAGCAGGCTGAGGTCCTGAGTCGGGGAAGGACGGGGTGGGGCAGCCAGTGGCCGGTCAGGGCCCCACACTCAGGCTCCTTCCCGGGTTTTGGCACCAAATGTAAGATAAATTCCAGCTGAAATAAGCAGGTGAAGAGAGGC